CGTCACTGTAGAGTAAGGTCCTGTCAATCGCCAGGGGTGCCAACTGTTAAGTATAAAAACGATAGCCCTCATTACGCGCGAGCGATAAGGATGGGTAGCTTGGGGTCATTGGACAAAATTCTACGTGCCTTCAAACTGCTATCTACCTGTCCTGGTGCTGCAGCGGCGTACGAGCGGCGGCGGCGGGCGCGGGTGTTAACGCGTAGTCCGCTAACAAAGCGTCTGTGGGCGCGCCCGCCTCGCCCGCCGATTCACGCGCCGCCTCCGACGCTCGGCCTAGCTTCACCACTTGTTACTGCTCTTGGGAAGGTGTGCCCATTCCTCCAGTCTTACAAGCGACTCGCTTGTAAAGCTAGCCAGCCGCTCAGCCTTGTTGGTTACCCACTTATGTTCCTGGCTACTCCCCAATCTTGGTGATTATCTACCTGCGCTGCCAGCTACTCCCCAATTTTTGGCTACCATTTAATCCTGCTGACTACGCGCCAGTTCTGCTGACAATGCCGCTGGCTACCTTTCCATATTGCTGCCTACTCGCTGGTGCTGTTAGCCACGCCCCAATCTTGATGGCGTCCCGCCCATTTAACTAGTTACCGCCCAGTTTTCTAACTACTAGCCTGTGTGCTCTTGGCTACTTGTCTTTTCTGCTGATAACTCGTCTGTGTTGCTAGGTGTCAGTCTGTGCTGCTAGCCATGCCCCAATCTTGCTGGCGACCCGCCCATTTAGCTTTGTACCCCTCTGTACTACTCCTTATATCTACCCACCTGTCCTGGTGCTGCAGCGGCGTACCCACCTATACTGCTGACTAGTCACCTGTGTTGATGACCAGCCACCTTTGTTGTTGACTAGCCACCTGTGTTGTTGACTAGCCAGCTGTGTTGTTGTGTTTTTGACTATAGTCTGGTCTGCGAGCACGTAGAATTTGGTCCAATGACACCAAGCTACCCATCCTTATCGCTCGCGCGTAATTATATTGCTGTCGCGACTGTGCGACGGGCGCCCGCAGTGAGTATGCGAGCGCGACAGCAACATAATTACGCGCGAGCGATAAGGATAGGTAGCTTGGGGTCATTGGACAAAATTGTACGTGCTCGCAGACCAGACTATAACTGCTATCTACCTGTCCTGGTGCTGCAGCGGCGTGCGAGCGGCGGCGGCGGGCGCGGGCGTTAACGCGTAGTCAGCTAACAAAGCGTCCGTGGGCGCGCCCGCCTCGCCCGCCGATTCACGCGCCGCCTCCGACGCCCGGCCTAGCTTCACCACTTGCTGCAACTCCTGAGAAGGTGGGATTTAGTTTGAGAAGCTGTTTGTGGCCCTAATTGGGTAAATTTAATGAACACAAATATCTAAGACTCATGGCCTCCCCAACCCATCTGTGGGTCTAGACCAGTGGTTCTTAACCTTTAAGTCATGAGGGACTATTTCACCAAATTTCTGCCTTGTCAGGGACCACCTCATAATCGGTCAAAACCAGTTTGACTGCAAAAATCAGTTAAAAGTGGTTTTGACCAAGTTGTGCAAGTACACTTCCTGGACCACTTGGAATGCCTCCAGGATCCAGGACCACCAGTGATCTGCGGACCACCGGTTAAGAACCACTGGTCTAGACAAAATGCACATTGTAATCGTAAACCAGTCTAAAAGTGGTCGTAAGGACTTTCTTATGTATGGAGTTTTGATGGATTCAATTATCGATTCGATCAAAAAGTGCAACTTGTCTAGGGGGGCTGGAGTGTATGTCAAATGTGGAGACTAATAAATAAAATATGTATGACAGCCAGAATAATTTTAAGCATTTTTTTTATTAATTTATTAGGTACACCAACGATGGGTACAACAATACACAATATGTTAAAAAAATACACAAAATATTAAGCTAATTGCACTATCACTTAAAGGTATACACAGCTTGCAAGAAATATAAGTTGCTGCTTAGTTAGCGTAGCGTTTTCAGTAACTTACCTGGTCTGAAACCTGTGGCTCAGGCAAGACTAGCTTACTGCGCTTGCGTGCTGGCCCGTCGTTCTGAAGCATCGCCTGGGGCATGTCATTTTCCTTGCGTTGCTTCAGCTTCTGTTTGTCCTTGCGGCGATCCCTCTAGAAATCAAAACTTGGATTAACCATCATGATAATTTTTCAGCTTCTTATCTATTTTTTTGTATAGCAATATTTTACTAGTAAATCTTAATCAATTAGATACAAACCTCTTCCTTCTCCGACTGTAATTCTCCATCCAAATGTTGTTGACGCAGTCTTGAAAAGTCGGGCGCCATTGGGTCCACCACCTCAGTAGAAGTATCATAAAATCCAGACGATGGTTTCTTTTCAAACGGAATTTCGGCATTGTAATCTACGCCACGCTTCTTTTTACGTCTGCAATGTAAATGAAAATTAAGTACAAAAGTAAAATAGTCAATACCTGCCAATTCATCATTAGGGCTCACTATTCTGCCTTTTTGGCAAAACTTAGCCATGTATTGATTGAGAATCAGCATAATGAGGTCTTTCAGATAAGCTGACTGGCATTTAAATAAAAGCTGAAATTTATGGGCAAATGCAAAATATATGGGCTATATTTGGGATTATAAAGGGCTTATAATGTTTCCATTCTCCTTCTGCCTATGCCCAATGCCCAAACCTGCAAATTCTCATGCTATTTCATGAGTGACTTTTTATCATGACTACCAAAGTACATAATATGCAGATTACTACAATGTAATAGGTACATGTTGATTGCAGTGTATTGTTTAATGAGTTCCAAAAGTAAAAAATTGAACAGAAATAACACACACTACACTACCTTATCGGGACAGCAATTCCAGCAGCACTAAGTTCCCTCCTCTTCTGCAGAGCTGCAAGCCTCCTAGCTTCTTCTAGCTGTTTTTCACGGGCCTTCCTTTTTGCCTTCTTGCCCTGAGTGTTGGCAAGACGAGCACGGGCCTCGGACAACATCTCCAGTTCTGTAAGACAATGGATGATTTAGTTGTTAAAATTTCTTTGCGTTTAGTTGCATCTCAAACTTAGATTTGTTAGCAAGTGAGCTAGGCACATCAATATTGGATTTGGATGTTGTTTTTTTTTTATGCTAGACAAGGCAGTATTTACTTGTTTTATTGTACAATTGCACATTTTTATTGCAAAGTAGCTCATTACAAATTTACAACTAGCTTAAGATGCCACATATTTTTGGATAGGTAGGGGTTGGGTGTCATTCTTTACCTAGCAATACATTAATCTATTTTAATTCATTTTACTGTCACTTGATGGGCCTTGATTGAAATCATAAAAAAAGTACATTTAAAATTTTGTAAGCAATTCAAATCCTTCTAGTCAACAATATTTTTTGCATGATCGTTTGTTTCAGTCAACTGATGTCCACTGCTGGACAAATGCCTTCCCCAAGGCTATCCATAACGACCGGTCTTGCGCTGTCCTCATCCGGGTTCATGACCTTTTTCGTATAAAAGTCAATAATTTATTCCAAAGGCTTTCTTAGCCAATAAAACTTACCATCTTCATCCATGTCCTTTGGATCAGGCCGGGCAGGCTTGGTCTCAGGGTTAGGGTCAATCTCACCGGGCTTTAGCTTCCGAGGGTCATCACCCATATCCTCTCCCTCTTCTTTCTTTTGGGCTTGATCCCTGAATAATGACAATTAATATGTCATGCTTAGTAAATAATAACTATAATAACTTTAAGTGAGTATCTCAATGATAAATTACTAGGCTCTAACTTCTGACATCTTTCGGTTGATCTAGGGTGGTCCTCCTCTCTCCTAATTGCCGTGCCCTACAGGGCCCATAATGTTCTAATTTTAAGTACATAATGGATGCAAAAAAATATTGAGTATTAACTTCATTCTCTATCCCTGTTTATAATTTGACTGTGTCAGTTAACTTTTAAAACTAATCTTTAATATACTGAGCTTAATACAAAATGGTTGTTAATGTATAACCACTCAATTATTGGTTCATGAAAGTGACTACACAGACAAATGCATAAAAATTTGTGCCCTAAATGAAGTTTTGCATCTAAACTTGAAGTTAAATCTGCACATGATTGTTATAATGACTGAATAGCTATAGTATTCTGACTTCTTACAGTAAATATTCGTATCTTTCCAAGCATTGCGCTGCCGTGCGCCCAATGATAGGCGCGATGGTCCTCCACTGCGTCGGCATCAACTTGGCCAAGTGTAGCAACTTCTCGTCCTCCTCCCGAGACCACTCGGTCTTCTTGATGCTCGGATCCAACCACTCGTACCAACGAGCCTTGCATTGTTTGGCTGATTTTCGATGTAGCAGCGATGCAATTCGGGACCATTGGTTTTTCCCATATTTCATCACCGCCGCTTTGAGGATTTCATCCTAGAAATGAAGGATGATAAATGACGAAGATTGTCAAGTAAAATGATACACTAGGGCAGACAAATTAAACACAAACCTCGGTGTTGCGCCAAACACCACCTTTGATCATAATCCGCGGCATTGTGGATAGTTATTTAAACTGCTACAAGGATAACAATTATTCACATAAAATAACTACAATATTTGTCAATTAAGTTTTCGTCAGTTTCCACACATTATTAATCAACTAAGTTCGATAAAACACAAGCAATGAGGATAAAATCGAACGAAATGGACGTGAAAAGAAGCCAGCAACAACAATGGCCGATGACACTTCTGACGTTATTTTTTTTAAACATTCCTGGCTCTGGACCGCTGAGTAATTAGAACAATATTTGAACGTTTGTTTGGAAGTCACATGTAAATAATAAAATTACTCACACAAAAATTCATATCAATAAATAAAAAGGCTAGTTTTTGTTAAATTACTTCTACTTTTGGGAAGCATCCTACCTTTTGGTGGTGAGGAGAAACACAGAGGGAGGAGTCACTTTTTAAGCAATGGCTAAATGCATGATAGCCAAGAATAAATTAAAAAGGTTTACCAACTCACAGGAAAAAAACTCCCATGCTGCCAACTGCAGAAAACTAAACGTCAATTAAGTGGTGAATGGCGTTTCGCAGGCACTCCCATTTGATAATTTAGTAATTTACCAAATAAATCTGCTTTTGTGCTTCTACATTGTAATATAATGAATATTACATCGAATTGATATATTGTGCCTAAATTATGAACAGTCTTGCATAGTGTGAGATTGCTGTTTATCCATTGAAGGTATGAATCAGGGCAGTGCAACATTTACTTTATTTATCGCTCTATAATCGTGTTTTTGATGATTTCATACATTCTTGAAATAAGACAACACGTCGAAGACTTTATGTCGATACTAAATAACAAGAATTTTATGCTCATAGGGAGATATTCAAGGATATTGCGGATATTGCAAAATGCTATCTGACATGTACCGGGAATTCACAATTACGCATCCTTGCCTTAAATAAATTGTTTACAAATGTATTCTGTTGCTTTTCAGAATGTCTACGATGTCGAGGTCTGTCCACATCAGCCAGCAGAAGCTGGCTGAGAAACTGATCATATTGAATGACCGGGGTATTGGGATGCTTACTAGGATTTACAATATCAAGAAGGCGTGTGGCGATGCGAAGTCGAAGCCCGCTTTTTTGTCCGACAAGGCCTTGGAGTCATCAATCAAACACATTGTAAGAAGATTTCCCAACATTGATGTCAAAGGACTCCAAGCTATCAACAACATAAGAAATGAAATAATCAAGTCCCTTTCACTGTATTACTATACTTTTGTTGATTTGTTGGACTTCAAAGACAATGTTGTTGAACTTTTAAATATTATTAATGCTTGCCAGGTAACATTAGATCTAACTTTGAATTTTGAACTTACAAAAAACTATTTAGATTTGGTCACAACTTATGTTTCTTTGATGATTTTGCTGTCCCGGGTTGAGGACCGGAAAGCAGTGCTGGGGCTTTTCAATGCTGCACATGAAATGGTTCATAACCAGATAGATCAAAGTTTCCCCCGTTTGGGTCAGCTGATTGTTGACTATGATGCCCCACTCAAGAAGCTGTCTGAAGAATTTATACCCCACCAGAAGATATTGACCACTGCCTTGAACTCCCTGTGGCATGTGTATCCAGCTAGGAATTTGACTGCTGAACATTGGAGATCAGAGCAGAAGTTAAGTTTAGTGAGCAACCCTGCTCAGCTCCCTAAACCTTCTGAAACAAATACAATGTCATGTGAATACATCTCACTAGAATGTCTTGAGAGATATGTCATTTTTGGCCTAGCCCTTTGTCACCAGATGCTGCAACAAGAACATGCAAACAAAATGTGGGTCAGTGCTTTGGAGTCAGGGTGGGTGGTTGCTTTGTTTAGAGATGAAGTCATTTACATACACAGTTATATACAGGGCTTTTTTGATGGAATTAAGGGTTATGGCAAAAGAATATCTGAGGTAAAGGATTGCTACCATCATGCTGTGCAGAAAGCTGGGTACAAACATAGAGAAAGGAGAAAATTCTTGAGAACAGCATTGAAAGAGCTGGGGCTTATCCTGTCTGATCAGCCTGGATTGATGGGCCCTAAAGCTTTGCTGGTGTTCATTGGGCTCTGCTATGCAAGAGATGAAGTATTCTGGCTCCTACGGCACAATGATAATCCACCCCAAAAAGTTAAAGGAAAAGCAGCTGAAGACCTAGTGGACCGTCAGCTACCTGAACTGCTGTTCCACATGGAAGAGTTGAGAGCTCTTGTTCGCAAATATACCCAAGTAATGCAGAGATATTATGTTCAATATTTATCTGGTTATGATGCTGTTGCTTTGAACCTTATGATTCAAAATCTGCAAGTGTGCCCAGAGGACGAGAGTGTTATTCTTTCTTCACTCTGTAACACTGCTGCTAATTTAAGTGTGAAGCAAGTTGAAGACAGTGAAATTTTTGATTTTAGAGCATTTCGCTTGGATTGGTTCCGATTGCAAGCCTACACTTCACTTTCCAAAGCTCCATTAAATCTGGTGGACCAACGAGAGCTGGCACAGTACATTGATAAAATGGTCTTCCATACCAAAATGATTGACAACCTCGATGAAATGATGGTTGAAACGTCAGATTTGTCCCTTTTTTGCTTTTACAGCAAGATATTTGAAAGCCAATTCCATTTGTGCCTAGAGTTTCCAGCACAGAACAGATACATAATTGCATTCCCCCTGATTTGCAGTCACTTCCAAAATTGTACTCATGAGTTATGTCCTGAGGAAAGACACCACATTCGGGAAAGAAGCCTGTCTGTTGTGAATATATTCTTAGAGGAAATGGCTAAAGAGGCAAAGAACATTATCACAACAATATGTGATGAACAATGCACAATGAGTGATAAACTGCTTCCTAAACATTGTGCACAAACTATTGCCCATTTGGCCAACAGAAAAAAGAAAGATAAGAATAAGAAAAATACCATAGACTTTGTTAAGCCAGGAGCTGAGAGTTATAGAAAGACAAGAGAAGAACTGACTACAATGGATAAACTACACATGGCACTAACAGAACTTTGCTATGCCATCAATTACTGCCAAACTGTCAATGTGTGGGAGTATACATTTGCGCCCCGTGAATATTTACATCAGCATTTGGAAACTAGATTTTCAAAAGCCTTGGTGGGAATGGTTATGTTTAACCAAGATACAAGTGAAATTGCCAAACCATCTGAACTTCTAGTGAGTGTCAGAGCTTACATGAATGTGCTTCAGAGTGTTGAGAACTATGTTCACATAGATATCACAAGAGTCTTCAATAATTGTCTGTTACAACAAACACAAAGCATTGACAGCTATGGTGAAAAAACCATAGCATCCCTGTACACCCAATGGTACTCTGAAATATTACTTCGAAGAGTAAGTGCTGGAAGCATTTGCTTTTCAATGAATCAAAAAGCATTTGTGAGTCTCACAGCTGAAGGGGCAATCCCATTTAATGCTGAAGAATATTCAGACATCAATGAACTTCGCGCACTTGCCGAATTGATTGGCCCCTATGGAATGAAATCTTTGAGTGAAACATTAATGTGGCATATATCTAGCCAAGTGCAAGAACTCAAAAAGTTGGTAGTACAGAACAAAGAAGTACTTCAAATGCTGCGCACCAACTTTGACAAACCAGAGATAATGAGAGAGCAATTTAAAAGATTGCAGCATGTGGACAATGTGCTCCAAAGGATGACAATAATTGGTGTTATTTTGAGCTTCCGTCAAATAGCACAAGAATCTCTTTTAGATGTTTTGGAGAGAAGAATTCCATTCTTGATCAGTTCCATCAAAGATTTCCAACAGCAACTGCCTAGTGGAGACCCGATGCGCGTTATTTCAGAGATGTGCTCGGCCGCAGGACTGTCGTGCAAGGTCGACCCGACCTTGGCATCGGCGCTACGGCAACATAAAGCAGAAGCAGAGGAAGAGGAACATTTGGTTGTTTGCTTACTAATGGTGTTTGTTGCTGTTTCTCTACCCAGGCTGGCTCGCAGTGAAAGCTCGTTCTACAGACCATCTCTGGAAGGTCACGCCAATAACATACATTGCATTGCACCAGCTATCAATCATATATTTGGTGCGCTGTTCACGATATGCGGGCAGGGTGATATTGAGGACCGAATGAAGGAGTTCCTGGCTTTAGCGTCGTCTTCTTTGCTGCGCCTCGGTCAGGAAACTGATAAAGAAGCAATAAAAAACAGAGAATCGGTGTACTTGCTGCTAGATTTAATTGTACAAGAATCTCCATTCCTTACAATGGACTTGCTGGAATCATGCTTTCCATATGTTTTAATACGTAATGCTTATCACGAAGTTTATAAGCAGGAACAGATGCTTTTGCATTCATAATTAACTGTAAAGAGCAAAAAAAGACAGGATATTAATTGTCATTATTTGTAATTGATTTTAATAATGTTAATTTTATATCCATGTATGTATAGACACATTTCCAATGTAGTTATTAAGATGATTTATTTTCGACGAAAATGCATTTGAGATTAATATTGAAATATTGTTCTTCTCGTACGTACATACTATGTTATATAGACAACTAATTTGAATTCAACACAGTATTGTATTCCAAAAACATTTATGTAGGTTTAATGAGACTGGTAGAATATTCCGTTAAAAATATGAGATGATCCAAAACTTGTGAAACAACTAAATATCAAAGTACCTAAAGAAATGCTTTGTTTTATGGAAATAAACAATGTTTATGAAATTATGTTATAAGGAATTTATTTTGTATAAGAGTTTAAAATATGTTTCCATTTATTGCGTTAGATATGAAATATTTTACCGACACACGTGAGCGCGATTAGCGCTGCGTGTGGTCTTGACTATTTAGGGCACTTTTGTCACATTTTATTACTAACATTAATCTAAAGTTATTTATAACCCACCTTTTATAGATTCAAGCCTCCTTACCAAAGACCTGCAGTTTAACCGAGTCGGTTCTTCTAATGAGCCTGCTGAATAAATGGCGATTAAGGAGCGTATGATATCGTGCTTACGACCTTGATGACCCCTCCCGCAACGAGTAGTTTATCTGAAATTCGACTCTGTTAAGCAGTAGGCCTTTATAACCTTGTTTATCGAATATGAGTAGCTGTGCGGGGTTATTTTCATTCAGCTATTCTTCAGATAAGCAATGATTATTCATAATGGGATATTTAAATGTATCGTAGGTTAATAAAAAGTACATTTTAGGAAAGATAATTTTTAGTTAAATACTATTAAGTCTATTAAAGTTTTTTTAAACAAGCTAGATGTAGAATGGAAGTATTTTATGTGCGAGATTATTATATTCACGACCTAAGTGCAAAATATTGGATTTGTAATCTAATGTTTGCTATTAAATTCAATAAGTAGTTATTAATAGAACACATTGTCATAAAGGAGATGTGCTTGACTCATATAAAACTATATTCCATATCATTAATGATGAAATGTTTTCAATTTAAATAGGTTTATGTATGAGTAATATTATTTATACTTTGCTTGTAAGTACATTATGAGTTTGTCTAAGCAACACACAACAACTTATTACAATAAAGAATATTTATGTGAAACTACCATTTCACTTTTGTTAATGTCTATTGAGTCACTGAAGGTGTTAATTACTGTTGTTTCAATTATTTATGCTTCAAATACCTACAACTAAGAATTATTTATATCAGTGGATGTCCAATTCGTCCCCACCATAAGCAAAATTGAAAAGAAGGGTTTTTTCGCTCTCTGCAGACAATAACATCTATTAGGTTGCAGGTTTTCACATTGTAATCCGTGGTTGTTGATTTCAATTAACACTATTACAACGACAATACACAATATAGAATTTTATACGAGCTACCTAAACTTTTTTGCATAAAATGTGCTTTGTTAAGAGCTCTAGCATGCTGATTGATATAACGAAGTGTCCCGTTAAGCCTAGTCGCAGGTTACCGACTTTTAGTTGGCCGATAGTTGGGTCGGGCTGTTGATCAGTATGGAGATGTATGAAAATGCGCAAATTATACACCGATTGGTATCGGCCGATTCTTCATACAAATTCGAATCGGGCCCATCTATCGGCCAACTAAAAGTTGGTGGTCTGCGGCTAAAAGCAAAACTTCGCGCTCAGTTCACAACGATGCAATGTGTGTAGTGTGCTGAATGAATTTTGCAAAAAAAAATGTGTGCTGGAGCCCTTAGATAGTGTTATTATTTTGTACCTTGTATATATGAATACCACCTACGCATTTAATAAAATCATTTAATATAAAATAACACTGTTTCACTATTTTTTTCCCTATAGTATTCCATAGTCAGCTCACAAGGGTAAATGACAAATGAAACTTCAGTGTTCATGTAAAATTTATTGTTTTTTTATTATTTTGAAATCACATGTTGTAACATTCATCTTGTTAATTAAAAATATTCACATTGTCATTTAAATAATCTATAACGGTAATCTAGCTTACACTTAGGAGAAATAATGCCATTGAGTACTACTAACGATGGAAATAAATGCAATCCATCAATTACACGATTGGTCAAGTCGCTCTACAACGGAAACATTACCCTCTCGGTTTACATACAAATATACATTATAGTACAGTTACGAGAATTTGCGTATTGTTTCAACATTCACTAATAAAATGGCATTAATATGGTATACTTATAAGATCGACCCTTAACGTTAAATGTATAGAAATAATAAAAATACATCATGCTCTTTGGCTTGCACGACGGAAAGTAACTCTACGTAGTTGATTCATAATAAAAAATATCATTACTTATCAAAGAGATCAATTCAGCAGAACCGTACAACAAAATATTCGTCCGATATACATAATACAGGAGTTTTGTGATATGCAACTTTGTGTTCAAAACAAATATTTGTAAATTCAAATAAACAACAATATTTGTATTTGAGCCATCTCTACGCACAAAACTCATACACACAACTACAAAATAAAAAATGCATATTACAAAATTTCATTATTAGCAAGATTGAAAGATTTTTCTCAGTCTAATTTACATTTGATCATTTGGCAATACTGTTAAAATTTCGTATTTAGTTACATAATACTTAAGATACGTTTAAATAAAGTTTAATTAATTCAAAAAGTACATTAGCTGTCGTAGGAAGACTAAATGTAATTTTAAATGAATGTATTTTGAGCCCATACATTTACTAATACAAAGTTTATGGAAAGATTACAATGCGTTTTCTAATATCAAACTGAAAAGAGGACAAAACAAAGGAACAGGAATACAAATTGGTATAATGGCACCTCGACATTCCACTTACGTTAATATTAAATATGTTTAAAAATAACTTTATATAAAAATTATTACACTTACAGAGATTCGAATAAAACAATGCAGTATTTATACAGTACTCTAACATCGGTAAGAACGATTACTTTTGTATGATATTTTTACATTGTAGCCTTTGTATACCTCTTCATTTATATACAAAAATATACATAAATGTCCGGTCGTACGAGCAACACATTTATTTATTGAGTTATTCTCACTAGTTCGCGTGAACAGCATGCCGTCTCTAAAAGTATTTCCCGTTTCCGTAATATAAAAATAATTAATTTTATAGAACACCATATCGCTCGCCGGCAGCGGGCGTTGCGCTCGGCACTTTAGTATCGGATCGATTATTACTTTTTATTCGATTGAGCAAATAATTTATTATCTCTTAAAAACGTAATTACTGTATTCGTCGAATTCGCTGAAATTATTACACATGTTGCGTGAATTACGTATGCAACAACCAGCAAAGCTAAGTGCATTTAGAACTACTAACGACTGAGTCTGTAATGGTTTACATCATCGTTGGTAAATCATAAAAGCACTGACATCACGATTTGTATGTAGAAAATATGTTAATTGATTATGGAATGCTTGCCCGTCTATCCGAGTAAATGCTATATTTCTCTTGAGTCGTCTACATCTTTACGTAGTATGCGCTAGTCAGGAGACACCCTGAACCCATCGAAATAATAAAAACCGACGTCGCAGGGCGCTTCTCTCTTCCAAACGATGTCAGTATTTTAAATATCCATCTGTATGTCGCTTACACTTGAGAGAAATGTACGTAATAGATGGAACTACTAAAATACGGACATCATTGAAGAGAAGTCTTTACATGTACATGAGAACCTAGGCTCGAAAGTAGCTTTATCGAGTCGTGGATTATTCGAGAACTTAAATAAAATAACAATTCCCAATATAAATTGCTATGGTACATTTCAGCTATTTTAATTAGTCATTGATTTTAGTAAATCTAATACTATTATAATACTTCTTGGCAGTGCCGGCCCACCCCTAAGGGTTAGTAATCGTCGACATAACGTCGAATTTATTTCAAGTATTATTTTCAACATACTATGTTTTATTTTCCGTATCGTTATCTCCAATTTCCTATTATTAAAAAAATACTTTCATGAAAGATCTTGAATCTAGTATGGAATCGACCGAATTCTATTATCACTTGTGCGTCTAGGTACGACATCGAAAACCGGTTAAGCATGAGCCGTATAATTTGATGACACAACTACCTATGTGTCGAAAGACATCAATTATACAAATACAGACAAAACAATATTGAAACTCTGGTCCTATTTCTACAATATCCATGGTATGTAATATAAACCTGCTATATCGATCGCACCAATAATGTAATTAGCTATCAAACACGTAGCTGTATGGAATTGTATTGTGATATGTCAACCATTGATCAACCATTTGATCAAGGTATTCGACAATCGCGTCGTCAGTTTCTCCTTTTGATATATTGTCAGTCTACTCTGTGATCATATACGAGTATGCTGACGTCAGAGCATTGTGTATATCCGTTATGGATCGTCTTTGTAGGCTTTATAGGGGAGGCACAGTTGACGTTATATTAAAACATAAAGTAGGTATAGTACGTTACGAGAAGACTAGCATGATGAAGCCGATCACTGTCACGCTATGGGTAATAATACGTCATAGAAAGGGAGTCTTAATAGTTCCTGTAAGTTTCTTGAAGGTTTTTAGAGCTCTAATACGCGATAACGACACGAGCTTGATAATGCTTATTCACAGTCACATGCTGGAACCTACACCTTGAGCTAGCCGATACATTAGTCTTTCAACATCAGGGAGGATACTAAAAGTGATCACTCTTCACTGGTCAGGTAGAGCAGTCACTGACTGCCGATGGGTTGCAGAGATGTGACGCGTTAAAAAAACAATTGCACCGCACTGCTTACGGCGGGCGGCTACAAGCACTAGTCGCAGCGTGGCGTGGTGTGCTGACCGATATAAGAGCGCGGGCGCGCGAATTCCTTGCGGAGTCGCCTATGTCATATGCAGGAAATGTGAGACGCTGATTGTGGCTGTATCGTCGAAGTGATTAACCTTGAGCTAACCGATTCTTTAGTCTTACTCGGACGATACTAAAAGTGATCACTGTTCACCAGTTGTTGGGCTCCAGAGGCGTTAAAACAATTGTATTGCGCTGCTCACGGCTAGGAGCTGTCGCGGCGCGCGTGCAGCGTGAGCGTGGTCTGTGAGGCGACGGAGGCGCGCGGGCGCACGTATCCCAATAGCAACGGCACGCCCGGCGCCGAAGTAATTATCCTTGAGTTGGTCGCGTCTTTAGCCTTTCAAAATCAGGGACAATACTAAAAGTGATCACTGTTTCGACTGTCGATGGATCCAGAGGTGTGGCGGCGCGTCACGGGCGTTAAAACAATTGCATTGCGCTGGCTCACGGCTAGGAGCTGTCTCGGCGCGCGTGCAGCGTGAGCGTGGTCTGTGAGGCGACGGAGGCGCGCGGGCGCACACGCAGGAAATGTACGACGCTGATTGTGGCTGTATCATCGAAGTGATCAACCTTGAGCTAGCCGATCCTTTAGTCTTTCAAAATCAGGGACGATACTATTTGATCACTGTTTTTGTGTTTACCACTGCGATGGGTTCCAGAGGCGTTAAAACAATTGTATTGCGCTGCTCACGGCTAGGAGCTGTCCCGGCGCGCGTGCAGCGTGAGCGTGGTCTGTGAGGCGACGGAGGCGCGCGGGCGCACGTATCCCAATAGCAGCGGCACGCCCGGCGCCAACGCGACCAGCTCCAGCGAGCCGCCCGCGCAGTACTCGTACTGTCAGACCTGGGCAATGGATATTAGTATTAATCACGAGGCGGTAAGACTTAAAATTACTGCGAGGAAAGTAGCGAGCCTCTATCTAGTACTCGTACTGTCAGAATTGGGTAATGGATATTGGTATTAATCACGAGGCGGTAAGACTTAAATTACTGCGAGGAAAGTAGCGAGCCTCTATCTAGTACTCGTACTGTCAGACTTGGGTAATGGATATTAGTATTAATCACGAGGTGGTTAGACTTAAATTACTGCGAGGAAAGTAGCGAGCTTCTATCTAGTACTCGTACTGTCAGACCTGGGTAATGGATATTAGTATTAATCACGAGGTGGTTAGACTTAAATTACTGCGAGGAAAGTAGCGGGCCTCTATCTAAGAGCCTCCGCTAAAGCTCGGTCTATTCCACTTTGATCACCTGGCTTTGATGACCCAGGTGATCAAAGTGGACTTCCAGCAATAATTTAGTGTCCTTTGATCACCCACGGATACGATTCCCTGGGTAATCAAAGTGGACTCCAGTTAAATTATTATTTTAGTGTCCTTTGATCACCTACAAACAAATCACATCTCCTCTTAATAGTCACATGTCCTACTAATTTTCGACACACATCCTCCTAGCGCCCGCGCGAGTATTAGCTCAGACTCTAAACTGGAAAACTATTTGTATTATGAATTCAGTTGAAATATAGGACAGTACCTATGTAAGTGATATAAAACTACGTCATTATTGGTCCGAATTAAAGCCTACGCTAAAACTTGCGCAAGCGCACACAGACGTGTCTGTATCGACAAATAATACGCAGAGTGGCGCGGATGCATGTGACGGGTTTCCACACGCGTCACGGGGCCATCCGCTCCGTGAAAGTTTTAGCAGCATAGGCCCTTATCAGACGTTTAGGGCGGCCCAACACATATTATGTCCAGATCGTGACGTCACTTGTTAAATTATACCACATGAAAGAAAAAGGAGCTTACCTTCTGCGCAGGTCGCATCTCGTACGACTGTGGATATGCGTTCGCGTATGGTTCACCTCGTGACCGCCCGCTCGGCCCGGGCGGGGCTGACGCTGTAAAGAACAAAATTATTTAGTATGGCGATTATCACACTGTACCGCGCTCCGCCGCGGTACGCGGGACGACAGATTTAATCATTGTATGCAAGTACCTCAGTTTGTATAGAAAACACGCGCGGCACAACACACTGACAACGCGTCTGCGCGCGGGATTCGTTATATGTATGTAATACTAATCACGCGGACCGCGGCGGAGCAAGGTGCAGTGTGATAATCGTCTATAATAGCAATTGACTATGATCAGTCTAGGAATATTACCCAATACTGAATTGGGTAATCAATACCAATAACGTCAAGACACAACTTCTTAAAAAAAAAACCTCTATTTTTATTTTGCTGTATAAATCGACTTTAAAATAGTTTGTAATCAATAACTACTTAATCAATAAGTTACCAAAAATATTGTGACGTCATAACTCAGAAATGATACATAAAATCTTGGGGTTGGTGCGTTTTGACAGCTCATAAATAGTATGTCAATGAGGGCTATCGTTTTAGCGCTCACCAGTTAGCGCCACTATAGATTAGTGTAGAGTAAGGTCCTGTCACTTGCTAGTAGCGAAGACAGTGGCACCAACTGATCAAGATGGCGCCACTGTAGAGTAAGGTCCTGTCAATCGCCAGGGGTGCCAACTGTTAAGTATAAAAACGATAGCCCTCATTGACAGCTATGTCCAGTAGCAAATTTTCTAAAACTAGAGGCCTGCACAAGAAAGAAACTAGGTAGAGGGTGGGGTCAAGAAAGGGGCGCCTTAATTTTATGACGTAGCGGGTGTGTCAAGAAAGGGCCTAGGTTATCTTTATAATGTAGGGGGTAGGGTCAAGAAAGGAGTTAGGTAAGCTGAATAATAACGCAGGAGGTCAAAAGGGCCTAAGTAATATTTATAACGTAGAGCAGTGGTTCCCAGCGTAGAGCAGTGGTTCCCAAACTTATTTAGTCTACTGCCCACTTTGAGAATAAATTATTTTTTAGCGCCCCCCATTTTTGTAGTCAAGAGTCGAGCTCAGTCGGTGTCTAAGAGTCCTCCTAGTAGATGACGCCTCCCAAGCCTCTACACAACGTCCCGATTTTTTTCTGGGTCTCTTACCGCCCCCCTTTAAGCCTGCAGCGCCCACACGGGGGCGTTATCGCCCACTTTGGGAAAGACTGGCGTAGAGGGTAGGGTCAAGAAAGGGGCGTGTCTAACTCACCGGGCGCGTCCCTATGCGCGTACGCAAGCGGCGCGGCGTATCCTTTGTGCGGGCGCGCGCGGCGGTGGCCGGGCCGCGGCGCCGCGCGCGCGTCCCTCTGCGCGTGACCCGTGGGATACCGCATCCTTCGCAGTGTGTTCAGGGGGCGTTATCGCCCACTTTGGGAAAGACTGGCGTAGAGGGTAGGGTCAATAAAGGGGCGTGGTCAACTCACCGGGCGCGTCCCTATGCGCATACGCAAGCGGCGCGGCGTATCCTTTGTGCGGACGCGCGCGGCGGTGGCCGGGCCGCGGCGCCGCTCGTGCGTCCCTCTGCGCGTGACCGGTGGGATGCCGCATCCTTCGGAGTGTGTTCATCGGCCTTCGGAGAGTTTCGGATAGCCGTCTGTGGATAAGTGATTGGATTATTATGCTGGAGGTACCGAGAGATAAGACTAAACATTACTTCTGGGTTGCAGCGCAGATTCAGCTTCACCTATGAAGCTAAATCTGCGTTTTCATGGCGATATACGACACAGTAGTAAACTAATTTACGTGTATAGCGCCATCTGTGCCTACTTTGTCTCAATTTTGTTAATTGCAATTAAGTTTTAAACAAAACTTGTAGATGACGCTACTGTACAGAAACCGAGGGCTCAAAAACTGAACTCCGACAAACGTCGGAGTTCAGTTTTTGGATAGGCAGGCAGGCTTCGACACTACACTACTTAGACAAAGGCGATGGATATTCGCCTTTGTCTAAGTAGTGTAGTGTCGAAGTAAAGTCATGTCGATATTCAGTAGTGTCGGAGTAACGTAATGTCGAAGTAACGTTTGTCGGAGATCAGTTTTTGAGCCGAAACCGAGATCTGTATTATACGCGACGACTGTGATAATATAATAATACAACTCTTCAATGGTGTTTCGAGCTCTGCAGTCTACTTTTAACGTCGATTGACGACAACAATATACAACTTTCAATACCGATCTTGAGTTTTTTATTCTCCTGTAAGTTCTAAATCACAATAGCGTCTTTAGAGCGTAGTCATCTAGCTATGGCCTGTACAACATCGACGCAGCGCTGGCTCAATGCAGGCGCTGGTGAATCGATGACGTAAGCCGCTAGTGTGGGGGAGTCGTTGAGACTTCTATGACAATCTTGAGTTTTCGATTCTTCTCCAAGTTTTGCAACTTGTTCCATGGTTGATCTTTCACCGACCTGGCCGGCGGCCGCTTGGGGTTGGACGAGGGCGTGTGCACGGCGCAGCACTTGACGAAGGCGCCGCAGCACACCACCAGCGCCACGCCGCCCAGCAGCACGCACCACCACTGCTCCGTGACCCACGCCTGCACCGTCTGCAGCGTGGCGCGGTTGAGGAGCAGGTTCTTGAGGCGGGCCAGAGGGCCTTCCGCGTCCACCGCGCGGCATTTGAGGAACACGTCGCAGTAGCCCTGGTAAAGAAAAGTTGTTCTTAGTTCTACATTTGATTAAGAGATGGCGCTGTTACGTCTTACATAGCGATATTACCAGGCTAAAAAAAGTAACCGTATCTTCACAGCATAAAGTTCAAATTATCCAAGGCCTGGTTAAGGGATAATTAGATTTCAAACATTTCACCGTGGTTGTTGAATTCAAGCTCAAATGGTTGTAAAATGTAGGCTACTTTTAACGTCCCAAATATAGCTTGCCCTAACACCACTTCGAGACAACATTATCAGCCAATACTGAGAAATGGTCAACCTTTTTAACTCATTGTTTGACGTTCATAATTTAAAATAAAACATTTCATTCCACTTCATTTCAAAAGCTGAAGGAACTCATTCTTTTATAAGTAGCCATGTAGATACTAACCTGGAAGTTATCACACGGCGATCCGGGTCGCAGACTGATCCCGCCCGCGGGCAGCCCGACTCTATGCGCGAAGTCCGCGGTACTCCGACACGAGTCCGGTCCAGGCCCGGTCTGACACGCAAGTTGACATAGCGCTCACCGGTCAACTACGGATTGTGTGACGCCGTCACACGCACGTGTTGGCGAGGATTATAGGGAGCTATCTTCCTATCCGTCACCTTAGAAGTAGCCATGTAGAAGCTATGTTCCTATCAGTCACCTTAGAAGTAGCCCTTCTAACTAACCTGGAACTTATCACACGGCGATCCGGGCCGCAGGCTGATCCCGCCCGCGGGAAGCCCCACTCTATGCGCGAAGTCCGCGGTGCTTCGACACGAGTCCGGTCCAGGCCCGGTCTGACACGCAAGTTGACATAACGCTCGACGATCTACCACGGACTGTGTGACCCCATCGCCGGAACGTGTGGGCGAGGATTATAGGGAGCTATCTTCCTATCCGTCACCTTAGAAGTAGCCATGTAGAAGCTATCTTCCTATCAGTCACCTTAGAAGTAGCCATGTAGAAGCTATTTTCCTATCAGTCACCTTAGAAGTAGCCATGTAGATACTAACCTGGAAGTTATCACACGGCGACCCGGGCCGCAGGCTGATCCCGCCCGCGGGAAGCCCCACTCTATGCGCGAAGTCCGCGGTACTCCGACACGAGTCCGGTCCAGGCCCGGTCTGACACGCAAGTTGACATAGCGCTCGCCGGTCAACTACGGATTGTGTGACGCCGTCACCCGCACGTGTTGGTGATGACGATAGGAAGCATTCCTTCATGTTCCATGCCAAGCAGATGGAGCCACTGCACTCGCCGTTTATGCAGAGTTGCGTGCCTAGAAACACAAGTAACGAAACGCGTCATTACTAATTCTCCGTCAGTTATGGTCATAGCAATAAGTTTGTGTTAGTAATTTTAAGAATATAATATGAGCCATGTCAGGCGCTTCGGTCGTAGTTTGATCAAGGCTGTGACTTCATTTGTTAATATAGTTGCAACCACACAATAGAAGATACAAATGACTTGAACGTATGTATATTGTAACCAATGATGCAGGAAGATTTTCAACAATATTGTATTCTATGTACTGTAACTGAACCTATTTATAAATAAATTAATATATAAATTAATTAATTTATAAATATATAAATTAATTTATTTATAAATAGGTTCAGCTTGTCAAGACAAAGAGTTTATAGCCAAAGTAGAACACTATTATATGTTTTTCTTCGTCTGCTAATTTCGTTATGGGTCCAATGACAGTTTGACAATCCCTGAGGTGACCTTGCCGTCACTGGTTGGGTTTAAAGTCAATTTGTAACTTTTGGTTGGGCATGGCTTTTAATGTTCACCAAGAAAACACTGCTTAATCAAACCCACAAAATTATTCGCTTGATTTTGTCGACGTCATAAAGCCCCTTACTCACCATTATTACACTTAGTGTGGTTCGGCATTGCTCGCGGCTCAGGACACTCGGCGGAGGCGCCGGAGCAGAATGCCGCGTGACTACACTCGGTGGCTTCCCGGCACGTGACATTCGCACGCGCGTGCGTGAACTGGCACGTCTGCGACTGGCAGCACGGGCCTTGTGATGGACTGAGGGGAAAAATAATGATAATAATGTAACTATTTGTGAAAGCTCTTGGATAACGTAAAATTTTAATAATTCCATGGAGCCTTGCGATGGGCTGAGGGGAAAAGCTGCAATGAGGTGTGAGAATAACATCAGCAAAGACTTCTGGGGTGTAGCGTTTCAACCTAAATGCCGTTCAATGTTATACAAAGGCCACACACACACCACGGCGGGGCGTGTGCTGACCGGTTTAAGAAGTTGAGGGGCTGTTTAGAATAAAAACTCCTTCTTGTTTAAGAAATCCGTGTGAAGCTAATTTTCACCTTGGTCCTGATCATCACTTTCATTACTTGAGATTCAGGCCAAACCTACCTGCATTGAGTGTTAGCCTTCCTCGTGCAGCCTTTGGCAGTGATATTCTTCTCCTTGTCGAAGGAGCTGAGCTGGCGCGGGTAGCAGCAGTGATCCTTGCACTCCAGCTCGTCGTACACAGTCGCAATCATCTCCGAAATCAAGTTCAGTGATTGATTTGTACAATAAATCAATCACTGAACCGGTCATCAAGTTTCTGAAGCACTATTATGTAACTGTGAGCAAACCTACCTGCACTGAGTGTTAGCCTTCCTCGTGCAGCCCTTGGCAGTGATATTCTTCTCCTTGTCGAAGGAGCTAAGCTGGCGCGGGTAGCAGCAGTGGTCCTTGCACTCCAGCTCGTCGTACACAGTCGCAAACCACGCCGACCTCAAGTTCAGTGATTGATTTGTACAATAAATCAATCACTGAACCAGTCACCACGTTTCTGGAGCACTATTATGTAACTGTGAGCAAACCTACCTGCACTGAGTGTTAGCCTTTCTCGTGCAGCCTTTGGCAGTGATGTTCTTCTCCTTGTCGAAGGAGCTGAGCTGGCGCGGGTAGCAGCAGTGGTCCTTGCACTTCAGCTCGTCGTACACAGTCGCAATCCTCGCCGACCTCAAGTTCAGTGATTGATTTGTACAATAAATCAATCACTGAACCGGTCACCACGTTTCTGAAGCACTATAAGTAACTGTGAGCAAACCTACCTGCACTGAGTGTTAGCCTTCCTCGTGCAGCCTTTGGCAGTGATGTTTTTCTCCTTGTCGAAGGAGCTGAGCTGGCGCGGGTAGCAGCAGTGGTCCTTGCACTCCAGCTCGTCGTACACAGTCGCAATCTTAGCCGACCTCAAGTTCAGTGATTGATTTGTACAATAAATGAATCACTGAACCAGTCACCACGTTTCTGAAGCACTATTATGTAACTGTGAGCAAACCTACCTGCACTGAGTGTTAGCCTTCCTCGTGCATCCTTTGGCAGTGATGTTTTTCTCCTTGTCGAAGGAGCTGAGCTGGCGCGGGTAGCAGCAGTGGTCCTTGCACTCCAGCTCGTCGTACACAGTCGCTATCCTCGCCGACCTCAAGGTCAGTGATTTATTTATACAATAAATCAATCACTGAACCGGTCACCACGTTTCTGAAGCACTATTATGTAACTGTGAGCAAACATACCTGCACTGAGTGTTAGCCTTCCTCGTGCAGCCTTTGGCAGTGATGTTCTTCTCCTTGTCGAAGGAGCTGAGCTGGCGCGGGTAGCAGCAGTGGTCCTTGCACTCCAGCTCGTCGTATCCGCAGTCGCACTCCTCGCCGACCTCCACGATTTTGTTGCCGCAGAATGCGCCCGCGCTTGCCGTCAGGCAGTTCCTTTTTTGAAAAAGAAATATTTTTTAATTTTTATTTTTTAATCTGCTTTGGAGTTATTATTTTTGAGAACCTAAAAGGTACCATTGACATAATTTGTCACTTAGCCGTATAAGGGACGATACCCATTGACCGGCGCACGTCGGAGCGCACTTACACGGCCGTAAAGAAAATAGTATTTTATTAAGAGCGTTTACGTCTAGCGTGGCATGTCAAGTTTAGGTAATTTCGATGCTATTTTTATTCACACTAAAATNAATGTTTGTTAAATCTTTTTCACAGTATTTTTATAAAAATTTCAGCTTGTAAACTGACGCTAAAGTGGAAATTTACAAAACCTGTGTGGACTTATCTTGATATAATTCTTGAATACTAAACTAATCGCAATATTTTCTCAATTACCTATTTAGACGACGAAATCGCCTAACTATTTATGCCTATAACATATTTGTAGTATTACTGGTTAATGATTGTAACGAGTTGAAAAAGTACTGTTTTTGCGCCAAACGGCGTAAACGCTCTTAACAGTTTTTAGAGTCGTAATTGCTTACAACTGATTAAATGACATTTCAATCCGCGAGCATGCTTCGGAAGCCGGTCAGCTCCGAGCGTGTTCCAGCGGATACACGCGCATACGTGCGCATTCCACCGCATTTTTAGCCGAACGAACGCTGCACTGCGCGCCGACTCGCGCCGGTCAATGTGAATCCTGCCTAAATGAACTACACTGCACCGTCCCACCCGTGTAATTGACAGGAGGCGCCACCGTCAATACCAGATCGCTGGTTCCGATTTTCGCCACTTTGGAAAACACTGAAATGTCATTTGTAGGAGGGCGCTGCCATAAATGCTGGGTCATTATTTCCGAACTTGGCCATTTGACGTTTCAAAATCGTTCAACTATAACAACAATACTTATAAATAATCAATTTTCTTTATTATTGACCTCAATATTCGAAGCACTCTAGCGCGAATATCGAGTAAATAAACGCATGGTTTACCTGTTATACCAATTTGCATTGCCATACAAAAATAGTCTTTAATTTCTACTGCCAAACATAAATTCAATTTTTAATAACCTAACTTCTAACAAGCATTACAATTAGCTAAGCTATTACATTTATAGCTTGCGGTTTACGAGCTGGGCTATAAAAACAAACTGGTTAGCAAAGGAAATATCTTTAGTCATGACCCCGTGTGGGGACCCGCGTATTAACGGCGACAGGTCGCTCAAAGGGCAGGCACTAACTGCCGATAATTACTTCCTGTTTTGACATAGAGCTTCCCGGTGGAACTGGAAAGATTTAGTGGGTAGAAAGTTGACGTTTTGTTGATGCGGGATTCATTGACTAACAACAGTAACAATAATTCAGACGCATGGAGACATTGTCCATTTCTTTGAGTTAAATTTATATACCAGTTTAGAAGAATATGGCCTTAGAAACTAATAGTTAGATACCCTACATACTACAGACTTTTAGTCGGCCGATTGTTAGGCCGGGCTGTTAATCAGTATGAACATGTATAGAAGTGCGGAACACTACACCGATTTGGTATCGCTCGATTAAAAGTCTGCAGTCTAGTGTGAATTGTCCGGTGATTTCTCGTGGGCGTGATATCACTGCATACATAGATGCAACGTTAACGCGACGAGCAAGCAGCATTATAAACTTTGCCGCGACTAAGGAACTACACTAGCATCTTTCGACGTTCAGTTCGTAAGTAACGAAACCCTCTCATCCCGCTGTGCGTCGCATCAACGCTGCGCAGGCGCTAGCAAGACGACGCGCGAAAGACGCTAGTATCTTCGTCTTCGTCACTAGACTCTTGGCAGAGTGGTCGTGGTCGTCACACCTGGTTTAGTGGCAAACTTCACAATCCGTCGCCATCCCTCCTTCGTCGTAGCCTTTCTTGTACACTCGTGGAGTGGACCAGTGGACCATTCATTGCGGTTTTGACCTGATCAGTCCAGCGTATGGGCAACCTGCCGCGCGCTCTTGTGCCTTCAACCTTCCCCTGCACGACAAGTCGTTCAACAAGGCGCTAGTATGAGAGAGGTCTAATAAATCCTTCCGATGAGGTGCCCTGAAGTTTTTCCCTAGTTAATAAAGGTATCATACCTCTTGCGGCCGTCGCGCACGGCTTCTAGCACGGCGTTGATGTTGCCGACGGGACGGGTAATGAGTAGGTACCACGTATAAAGTCTGGTCACCAAGCACGTAGAATTTCGTTCAATGACCCCAAGCTACAAATGCTTATCGCTCGCGCCTAATTATATTGCTGTCGCGACTGTGCGACGCGATGGGCGGCAGCAGTGAGCGTGCGAGCACGACAGCAATATAATTACGCGCGAGCGATAAGGATGCGTAGCTTAGAGTCATTGCACTCCCTGCCTCCTGCTGAATGCGCCCCCACCCGTTGTCAGTTACCTCACAGTTACAGAATGACAAGGACGAAGCAGCCGCTATGTATTGCAGGCAAGAAGGTTTCTTGCGTCCTGCATAGAGTACGGCGGTCGTCATGGCGACGTAGGTTGTAATGTCATGAGGACGTTAAAAATTTGTAATGGATGTAATAGGTATGTTATCTACATTCAAATACAATGTTTATAAAAGCGGAACGTGGATCGTGTGTTACGCCTCCTTTAGACGTGATTAGAAAAGGTGGTGGAACGCCAACCCTAAAATGTCATATCTCACTCACACAAGCATGGTACACGTTCGCCTGCACGAGCTTTATGACTGTGCTTAGAAGGCATTTCATACGAACTGTCGCGACCGCGAGTAGCGTCCGAGGTGTGGTTATGTAAAGCCTGGTCCGTGAGCACGTAGAATCCCGTCCAATGACCCCAAGCTACCCATCCTTATAGCTCGCGCGTAATTATGTTGCTGTCGCGACTGTGCGACGGGCGCCCGCAGTGAGTGTGCGAGCGGGATGGGTAGCTTGGGGTCATTGGACGGGATTCTACGTGCTCACGGACCAGGCTTTAGTGGCGTACCTCTTGCGGCCGTCGCGCACGGCGTCCAGCACGGCGCTGATGTTGCCGACAGAGCAGGACGAGAAGCGGCTGTTGTTGGGCCGGTCGCCGGACGTCGCCGACGCGAACATTATGTAGTTGCCCGCCGCGCCGCCCGGCCGGCACTCAGATGGGTAGTCGTGCTGTACACAACAATACATAATCGATTATAATATCCACTTTGTGGAAAGGAAGAACTTTACAATCGCAACTGTCAAATTTCAATATGTTTTTAGTCAAAATATCTACGGTTTTTGTTGTTTTCATATTATTTAAACTAATTGACGTGGAAAGCCGTGTGGTGACGGCAGAGTAGAATACATTTGTCACCAACCCCTACTCTTCCCACGGGTGTCGTAAGAGGCGACTTAGGGACTACACATCAAACAGAGAACGGGCAGCAGCGCTCTCTGAAAAACATCAATCTTTTAAACTGCGATCTCCAACCCGCCTGCCAAGCGTGGAGATTATGGCAAAACCCTCCATTATAGTGGAGAAGGCTCATAGTCCAGCAGTGAACTGTAAAGGGCTGTTGATGATGATTTAAACTAATTAAACAATATTAAAGTTGTAAACGCATCGAAAATTGTGGATATTTGATCGAAAACTGATTAAAATGGCAATGCCAGATTTTGTATGGAAGGTGGCGTCTTTTTTTTTTCGCGCGGCCATCGGCCAAACTTTGTTTTTTGATTACAAAATAGTGGAATAAACCAAACTTACTATGGCATGTATACCTCTAAACTCAGTCTGAACTGAGTTACGAGCATTAGAAGTTTAATGATTTTCATACTAGATTTGCTTTTTGCCCGCAAGTTTTGTAAGAAATTGTAACAAAATATTGCGCTATTTTTTATTGCGCTGATTCTGCTGCACACTGATGTCTGGATCCTTTAATGGATGGTATTGTTTGTTTACACATACAATGTCATTATTTTGTTGCAATTTCTTACAAAACTTGCGCGCAAACAGCAAATCTAGTATGAAAATCATCAAACTTCTGATGCTCGTAACTCATTTCAGACTGAGTTTAGAGGTATACATGTCATAGTAAGTTTGGTTTATTATATTTTCTTGATACTGATCGCAATCTATGTATGCAGTGATTTATTCTCAGCATAACAACTTACCGGTGATCCAAAGTTGTGTCCAATCTCGTGAGCCAACGTCAGCTGGCTCACTTTAGGCGGCACACGGCTGTTGTAGTTCACAAACGTTATGATGCCCGTATTCAGAGACCGCTTGGTACTCTGGTACATGCCGCCAATTGTCTCAGTGTAAGTTTTGTATTTCTCGCAAATGCCGCCTGAAGCACCGCTCGCACTGGCCACCCATGCTAAGCCTTTAAAGAAATAATAAATAAGTATCAATATTGAAAACACGGGATTAATTCCAACACTGCAACTCCTGTACAGCCAGAATCTACAGTTTGGTCTCCAATGAAACAAAATCAGTGAAGGATAGTAGTCCTGGAGATAGCTTACTGTCTATCCAGAAATGATGCTAGGGTACATTGAACTTCTAACGTAATTATAAAATATTGCCAACAATTTTCCTTAATGCAAATAAGGTCATTGAATTAATGATATTATTGTTCCATTAACATTTCAAGATAAAGAAAACAATAGTATTTCAATTAATTAAACGTATAGGAACCTCACACAACATGATTCATGTTATCCCTAAGTAAATGATAAGTAATTCCATTAAGGAAATAAATATTATTCAGGGTTCGAGGATATATATCAAGGGATATATATCAAGATATATATCGGATATATATCCGATATATATCAAGCCGGTTTTGATGATATATATCAACTTTTAAAATTTATTACTGTATTTGTACTTTTTGACATAAGATTTTTATTTTTTTAGTTGATTTTGCCGTATTTCAAAGATATTTTATGTTTTTACTTTATTTGTCTGATTTTAAGTTTTAAAAACATTAAAAACATGTTTATGTAACACATATGCAATAGTATTCATGAATAATACAATAAAATAATACTATGGCTTTCATACAAAATTGATATATATCAAAGTTGATATATATCGGATATATATCATAAATATCCGATATTTTGATATTTATAATAAATATCGGATATTTTCGAACCCTGATATTATTATCTTTAATGCATATTTATTTAGACACGTTAAAGTAAACATTGTTGATAAAAACCCTTAAGTTTTTTAAACATTCACTCTGAAGTACGCCCTTCGACCTTCGTAATGTTTATAAAAAAATACAATGCGATCGTTTGATAATAATGGTCGTAATTGAAAAAATATCCATTCTCGTATCGCTGTCTACGCCATATCTCGAGTTGGAGCTATGACTCATGCCTTGGACTTCACGCGTTGAATCACTAAACAAGTTTATGCATAGGTGCCCCGTCAAGATGTAATCATACGTCTTATTGCACGGTACGACTCGCTATGAAACCTTTGCCATGTTATTATGACAGTTAATTTTAGCATTGTACAGGAAAAACTGGTAATAACGTAATAAAGATTGTGATAGAGTCAGATAAAGCTAAGTAAGGACTTTATAAAGGAGTTATACTCGTAGAAAAATACTGTTTGTACATTCACCACAAAAAACTGACACATTGAAGATATGTACCTATACAAAATCGAAACAGCAATATTAAGGCGGTCTTACAGCAAGGAATCTCTTCCAAACAACCCGAGATATGACAACTGTGTGAGATAAAAGGGGAAGATGTAGCTAAAATAAATTATAGCTAAAGTACACACTTTAGCTATATTTTAGCGTTCATTCTTTGCACTGAGACACTAACCGATATCTTGTCTGAACGCACTAAGAGGGTAAAAAGTAATGGCCCGTATGAGTTTAATGGCTCTTATCATAATGGACATGAGGGTAAACACAGCAAGCTATTTTGTTTTACAAATGCTGTATTTTAGATAGCACAATACATTACTCCCTCATAAATAGTGGCAGTAAATTGGACCCTTTTTGTTAAGGCCTACAACGATCGAGTTATGAGAAAATATATTTATCGTCATCCAACTTATAGGCATTTATATCACGTGTAGTTGAATCTTTGAAATATGAAAATGTAAACACTACATAGATTAACAAAATTTGTGTAATTTTACATGCAACAGACCCAAGCCAAAGTAACAGAAGTGACAGTTATAATTTTGAAGTGGCTTTGCTCCGGCTATTTTACGTAGTTACTTCGCTCAGTGGAGCGATTTCCAAATTGCATTTTGTCAGAAATTTTACTTTGTCCATGGTATTCAGTTATTATCTATCGATTGTAACAAAGAGAACTACATGCCACTTATACCACTTACCAAGAGTCCCTCCAGTGAAGTCTCTGTACGTGAACACGTAAGCGAGGCAAAAGTCCTCGTGGTTTCCCAGCGAGTGGAGATTCAGGAAGTTCGACACATCGATGTTCTCGAGACAGAACTGGTTGGTCTCAGTCGCGAAGTGAACTGAGTTGCACATTGAGTCATCGTCGATCTGTTTGGGAAAAAATACAAATAATCATTTTTTCCTTCTTTCTTTTTCAAATAATTAGTCAAAGAGAAACTGAAGAGGAAATACAGGTAAAGTCATTGTTAAAACACAGACTTCCTAATTTGGAACCTTGACAATGGTGTATTGTTTAAACACACATTTCGTATTTAAAATATATCACGGCCATTGTCATTCAATTAATTACGGCATGTCCGTGAATGCGTCTCGTTCCAAATAATGCACATGGTAATGACACCAAATTAAATATGTGGACCGCAGCCATATTTATTGCGAGCATAAAATAAACCAAAACGACATACGGGATTTGACACCACCAACCAATTTACGTGATTTTTATGAGCTGTCAAAACGAGATTTTACCACAGCTTTTATATGGCAATACAAGCTAATGACGTAATTTCGCCGAATCAATTCACTACTTTTTTTGCAATTGCAAAGTAGATTCGCCGTTCATTGAAACCAGAATGTGTTTAGAAAAGTTGTGCTTTGGAATTAGGTATATTATTGTGAAATGGTATCAAATACCCAATTTGAAATAGTAATCTTTTAAAAATAATAACATAATAAAACTTAGCATTTTACATTCGTTAGTCGTTCTCTGGACAACGGGAGGCGTACGAACCTTGATCCTCTGGACCTCAAACTTAATGTTCCTGTGCTCCATGCGGCCGTCAAACTTGGTATCCCGGTATATGTAGTTCACAGCTGTCACGTGATGCGAGATGAGGGACAGGATCTCTTCGCGAGTCTTCATGTCTACTTCGCTCTTTTTTGACGGGTCCCGGTGCTGCAAGACCAATGTTTTTTTAAATGTACAGATAAAAAATCTACATATGGAAAAATCATATTTCATTACATCATCATGATTTAAAACTATATAATTTTCACATAAAGCTTGCAAGAGTTTGATATGTGTAGTAGTTTTATTTATTGACACAAATTTGTTTCCTAAGCGCGTAACATCAAACCAGGTTAATCAAATATAAAAAATAGTGACGAATGAAATATAGTTGGTAAGTAAAAACACATTTGGCCATCAGATAAGTAATGTAACTTTCACTAAATCTCTCTCAGTTTATTATATTTGTTGGAGTAAACTCGAAATAAAATTCTAGATTAAGTAGTTAATTAATGCTACTTTTACTTGACTTCTAGACTAAATTGCTTATCCTTCGCACTAAGTATTTCTTTTAAGCGTCACTGAAAGCTCTTATTCGCTTTAACGTTATTGTAGCTGCCCTAGAAAATACACGTTACTTAAACCGTTTTCCAGAAGACTAAACATACAATATTGAGCCGAGCCAGCCGCTGGAAACTAAACAATGCATTATGAACCGTGCCCAGCCCCGGGCGACAACTCTCAGCGAGCGCAAACACTCACAATTGATACAATTAAAACCCGCTGCCTGCTTATTGACGTTTAATTTGCCAATTAGCCCCACTCGATACAAATGTGGGGCCGCCCTTCACGAGTCAAACGTCTTTGCGTATATTTCATGCTTAAAAACATACCCTTTGAGAATTAAGGACACCGAGTAATATTATTTATACATCGAGGCTCATATCTTGATGAAATACATTAGACGTGTGGGCGTTATGTTCTGAGCAATAAGGCACATGATCGTGCGCGAAGGCGGGTCCGGTCCCTTATTTCATTTCGGCAGGCACATACACGTGACTGGCCGCTTTTCAGCTGTCTTCCTGTTCGGACGACGGCCAAAGCCGAGGGTCGAGAGCAAGCGCCTAAGGCCTATTCCGATTTACCCCGATCCGTCCCACTAGAATTGGGCTCTGAGGCGCTTCTACATTCAGGGCACGCTTCTAGTTGAGTTTGCCTTTTGGTGGGGTGCCATAAGCACTCGACACGGCTCGATCCGCGCCCATTAATATTTGGTCCGACGGAAAAGAGTCGTGAAGTAAGGTTGGCAAGTAAGTACCCGAAAGTAATAGGACCCACATACAAAGAAATAGATTTATTTTTACCAATCTGAACCGTTTACGTAGACTTTTAAGCTACGGATTTTGTTAGCTTTAAACAATTAAACCACGCCTTATTATAACATGTTGAACTGCGACCCGACTAAAATTAACCACCACGGTTCCACTAAACGCTACAAATTTTATTCTTTGAACTATAACCTACACGCAAACCGTTCAATACTAGGATTGGGAAAGCCCTAACGTGACACAATATTCCTATGTCCCTAGCTGTCGCTACTGTACTGTTGCGGTTATCCAGAGTCGTGCGTGCAAATATTCGCGGTTTTCTATAGATAAGTTACTGTTCCTGTACATTTGTAGAACTGCCAGTTTCTAGTGTTACACAATCACATTCCCAACCGGCCTAATGCGTAGGTGCACTGAGTTACTGACTACAGTAATGGTAATAGCTGATTTGCACAATGTTTATCATATACATTACCTAGTGACAAATGATAAAACATAATATAAACCTAACACATCTAGGTGACCAGGTTGAGACACTGAAAAACGTGATCAGTCTACGCTACAGAGTTTCTAAAGCTATAATGTTACAAAAACAATTCGAGACAAAGGCCAAATTAGTGCGTAGGCGAACTAAATTACTAGATAGATACTGGCCGTAACAAATCCTGTAGACTAATAATCCGCATTAGTGGAGCGTTCGATACTTACGTCGGGAAAGCCCTCTCTAACGTGCCGCCAAATGAGCGGGTCTGTTTGTATGTACAGCGAACACGTGTTGCGGTTGTCCAGTGTGGCCGTTGCGCGGCGAGCGCGCGAATGCTCGCCCGTGTTCGCCGCACGCGTGTACTTGTTGTGGAAATCCCAGTGCCTGTGAAATTGGAACGATTTGTTAGAATATTGCGACAGCTTTAGTTCACGTGCTCGTTCGTTTTTGGAGCTGATCTAGTATCAAATCTACCAAGGCAAAAAAGTTGTGGTTGGGATTTGCCCTCGTAATATTTAATGATTTCTTTACATAAAAATAATCTCTACTAAACTTCATTTTTGGACAGAAACTTTGTAAGAGGTGGCAATTTTAAAGGGGAATAGGCACTCGGGGCTATAAAAAAATAGTCCAACCAAACTGAAAATAGCCCCTTTTTAACAGACGCCCCTCAAATGATATAATAATATGACATTTTCTATACTTTCAATAAATGTTAAGAAACAAAACAATCATCATCCAGCATCGTTGCTTTCAGACAACAGTGTATTCCTTTTCGACGCTGTTTTAAGATTCTTGAGTGATAGACACCTGGATCCGGGCAGCGCAGGACCGGGGTCATCATCATCATCATCTCAGCCATAGGACGTTCTCTGCTGAACATAGGCCTCCCCTAATGCTTTCCATGTTTCCCGGTTGGTAGCGGCCTGCGTCCAGCGCTTTCCTGCTACCTTTATGATGTCGTCGGTCCACCTTGTGGGTGGACGTCCCACGCTGCGTTTTCCGGTATGCGGCCTCCACTCCAGAACGTTGCTGCCCCATCGGTCGTCAGTTCTGCGTACTATGTGCCCCTGACCCTGGTCCGGGGTCGTGTTGTAGAAATCCTTGAAACCTTTGCCTAGCAGTGGACGTCATTTGGCTGGAACGATGAAGGTAGGTAAACTACTCCATGGGGGAGGCCTTTGTCCAGCAGTGGACGTCATTTGGCTGGAACGATGAAGGTAGGTAAACTACTCCATGGGGGAGGCCTTTGTCCAGCAGTGGACGTCATTTGGCTAGAACGATGAAGGTAGGTAAACTACTCCATGGGGGAGGCCTTTGTCCAGCAGTGGACGTCATTTGGCTGGAACGATGAAGGTAGGTAAACTTAGCTCACCTAGGCGGATCTTCCCTCAAGCTATTCGGGTGCGGCGGCGGCGAATGATGCGCGTGCGGCGCGGACGGCAGAGGGGGCGACGCGGGTGTGGTGGGGGGCTCCTCATCCACGCCCGAGTTCTGGATACGCTCCATCCACTGCACCACCTCGTCTGTGATACCACAACCGCCTACGTGACCTGGACAATGGATAGACTCATCAATAAAAGGCTTAAGATCCTGTTTATACTTTCTTTTTCTTCTTAACGTGACGACAACAAACCTACACAGTGTTAGCCCTTTATACTTTTAGATGCCACGATTTGTAAAAGGATTTAGGTTATTTAAAATTGAATGGGCGATTAGATTGTGAGCCAGGCACCTAAACCTTGAACGTCATACATATCTACGGAGATTTTTTTTAGGAATACGAAGGAAAATCAATGTACTCGAAAAATTCGGCGCTAACGTTACCTTTAAACGTGAGATACGCCTAAAGTAAAGTAAGTGAGGAATTTTACCAAATAAAAAAACTAGTTCTTACAGACATAACCTAAATAAATCACGCAAAAAGTATTATCGAAGGTTGCAATTCGCAATATTAATTTAAACAAGTTAATATTTACTCGTGCGCATTTGAAATAAATAGTTATCATAATAAATTATGAAGCGAAAATACAACATCGTAGATTATCTTCAAATAGAAAATATTCAGAGATATCTTCACATACATCAAAACCGCAAAACTGTATCAATGGTAACAGATGCCCCGGCCCTAGATATCCTGCGGTCGCCCAGTAAGCCATTTAACAACCAATGGGCTAACTTTCAAGGGTACTTCGAATGGCAGCGATGGGGGACGAATAAAGTCGACCCATTGCATCGAGATGAAAAAAACTTCGACAAAGTGCTTAAGCGTTGCGCTGCCAACTAAAACTTTCATAGCAATGGACGAAAGTTAGCACTCAAAAGAAACAGACATGCACAATTCTTTATTTCTAATATTAGCTAGACACTGATATGTAAGAATTATCAAAATTCGTATAGCGCGACTATGGTCATTGGTGTAAAGTTGTAACTGTGTAATACCCTATTTCCTGTAATAAATAAGTCTGACAAAAGTGTCTGAGTTTCTTCCGCCACTTCTCAGAATCAGCTGATAGGTTGTCCAGAAGTGTAGGTAACCTACCTATACAAGCTATACATATTTGGGACGTGGATATGGGACAAGAAATTTGAACAAAGAAATAAACGAACCTATATCATCAACATAAGCATAACATTTTTATATTCGTCATTCAGAGGTCAATACAGTACCTAGTACGTCCATTGCGTGCAATACGTTCTGGTACCATACATTACTTGGATTACAATGATCCAGTAGCATCACACAATACCAAATAACGTCGTACGTGATACGAATACAATGAGACGATTTAGCGAGATTTATAATCCGCACGTACCTTCGGAATAAAGAATTAATTCTGTATGCCGTTTTTGTAAGACGGGTTAAGCAAATCTCCCGTAATAAATCATGGAATAAGTCGTGTGCGAGACAAAAGAGAGGTCTTAAGAATTCGAGCAGGTAAATAGATACATACGTCTCGACAATGCAAATTATTCATAAATAAGCATAAGGATTTCATAGTTTTCTTATGATAAGACACAGTTACCTATACCACTTTCGTAGTATGGACAAGTTATGCCACTAAAGAAAAAGCTCTGAACGATTGATCTACATCTAAACTCACCTAAATGTTACTTCAAGTATCGAAGAAAGGTTCAAATATTCTGAATAATAATATTGGATCTGATGATATTTTAAATTATTCATGACAAATTCCGAGTTGGCTACGAGTTAGCAAGTTGGGAGAAAAGAAAAATAGGAGGGCAACGTTCGAAGTTCGAAGCACTAGAGGTTGAATAAACAGCAACGCTGACGTCGCCTCGCTCCGTCAAGTTTCTGCTGTACTCGCTACGTGTTCGCAAGTTTGTTAAAATCTTGCATTTTCCATACAATTCACATTATTCATATTCAAAACAGGCATTAATTTGGTGACTTTGTCATGATTTTTAACTCGCTCATTTACAGCAAATTCGCACGCACATTCATCACTTAAAGCGTACACAAGAATGTGTTATTTACAATTAAAGCTCGCAGAAAAAGCGCAATGGCGCATAGAAAAGCACAATACAAACGAGGCGGTGGATTCTAAAATTAAAATACTGAATGGCAGGGGTGGTATTTTTCCCGTGTGTCGTGTAGAGCACATTGGTGCGCCCCGCATCCGTTGCGCTGCATTTTAACGAAGCCCGACTCCTGTGCCACCGACCGCCAGATAACGGAAATTACCGGCTGACGTTCACTTAACCACATACACCACCACACTGATGCCGCTAATGTGGACTCTATCACCCAGACTCAAGGCTAACCACGACTGCACAACAGCACCGTGCTTGCAAACATCTCGCAGCGCTAATACCTAACAACCATTCATATCTGATATTACGGGTTTAGGTTGAGACGGTAATTTGAAATTTTAATAGCTATCATTATGGAGAACATTTTCCGCAATACTAATCAATAAACAGCTCACTGAAAACTTACATCAATTGGTAAGTCCCAGTGTAATATAAATCAGTTTAAAAGACGATAACGTGTAATTGATACAATTATTGTAAAACTAATTACGCTTTTTATATCAATTACATGGAAACATGAAGGTATGATGACTTGGATCTGAGATTCTTTTATTATGATCATGATATAATTGAATTAGGTATTTCTGTTGTGGCAATTTATATTTTAGAAATGGAGGAAAAATCTTTTAATTCGATATGTAGGTAGGTGGGCAAACAATTTCTGATATCATACTGGATTTACCATTAACGTAGGCAGGCTTATTTGTTACTTTGAATATTTTACCTACTTTTACTTCCTGTCACATTTGGTTTATCCTGTTATGACAGTGAAATGTTGTAAATAAATAATAGTAAAATGACAGAGTTACTTTCTTAGTCTGTTTACTTTTGACACATACCCCCAGAACTGCTAATTTATTTATTTATTGATGCAAAACACTTGTAAGCTTACAGAGCAACACAACTTTAATTGTGGCTGAGAAAGATAGATGGAAGATAGGTATTATTACAGACCAAAATAAATATTTAAAATCGAGTCCGATGCATAAAAATTCTTATTGAGAACCTACAATTTGTAACAGACCAAAACACGCAGACCATGCCGCGTGCAGGAGCCTAATGCAGGTTCCTTTACTCTAATCTAGTTTCTATAATTAATGCGGAATTCATTCCGTTAGCAGGTACATAAAACGAATGACAATTAGTCCAGCCTCCAATACCAATGGCGCGTACGCAATGTAATGTAGAGGGAAAGAGCAGCAAGCGACAAGTTCCAACAAGGGCCAGCCCAGATGAAATATTGCCTTAATTACCAACTCGGCGACACCCTAAAACACTCTGCATAGTTCACAGCATCGAGAACATGCCAGGTGGCAATGATAAACTGCTATTAATCTGCCATATAATTATTTTCCAATAACTTCTACTTTTTGGCTGCGTTATAGAGAAGAAAAGCAGGTTTTTGTATGTCTCTAAGTACAGCAATATTTTTCCCGATTGCTTATGATAATAATTTTCGTACCCTATCATTTGATTCGTAGACTCGTAGTACAGAATAGTTATATTTATGATAATACAAAATTGCTGACTCTACATGTAAAATTAAGATTAGATTTCTTATTTATCAACATCATTACAGAAATCTCATGTGGCTGGCTAAAATAAAACCTAACGTAAATCGTAATGATGACTATGCTGGATAAGTTTGATAAATCTGAAAGCTAACGATGTGTATTGAAGCTCTATTCCGAAGTTATTTATCTTAAAAAGAATTCTCCACAGGAGTCTGAAGATCATCTACTGAACCATCGTAACATACGTTTGTGTAGTTAGTTACAATAATAAATGATAAGTATCTTGAGCAATTTAGTTTTATACTACACAATAATATTTACTTTGAGCGCGACTCTACGTAATAAAATCATAAAATATATTGCTATTGATTTTCGACGTTGTTTCAGTTTTGTTAAATCTATTGTTACAAGGGATGCTTGTTAGATCTAAAATTGGAAAACGAATATGATAAAGGCATCAATGCAAAATTGCAGGGGTAATTGACTTCGCATAATATTCAATATTCGCTATGCAAAGCCGTCTAGTCGAAGCGTGCCGACAGTGAACTCTGCGGAGCACCTACTTAGCTACCTCCTGTTTGCATAGAACATGGCAGTGTTATCGAAGCAGTGCGGTTCCGGGACTTCTTGCTGAGTAAACAACCGCTAACGACGTCATTTTATTTTTCTTTTCACGGAGTTATAGTGCAGACTCGACAATTTTTCACGGTATTAAACGTTTTGGAGAGGCAAGGGCGCGCCCGGGGAACGTGGCATTCTGATACACATACGTGCATGAAGCGCCTAAATGAGATTGTATACGATTGTAATTTACGTTCGCATAACGGTACGCGAAGTTCGCGAGCACCAGCAAATTAATTTAGTCATCCTGCACGCAGATTTCGTGGAAGATTGAAGTGTTCTGCTTGAAGTTGCTTTGCTTATTGAAACAACAAAATATCTCATCGCCCTTCTCACAACAGAGACTAATAACATTCGTGAATCCACTCGTCTAGACTAAATTGGATATCCTAAGGACTGTAAGGATCAATTATAATAAATAACGAATAAAGCCACCGCAAATACGATGTGTTTGATAGTACTTAGGTTCGTACATAAATGATATTGTATTCGTAAAAATGTATTTGTTTGCCGTGGCCTGTATTGTCAGATTACTAAGTATGCTACCTACGGGGAAGAGTCATAACAATAGCTAAGTCGGGGATATTTCCGGACAGCATAAATAAAACATGTGGAAGTTAGCGAATTAAACCGTGTGAGGTGGGCGTATCGTTTGTAACGGGAGTTCGGGCGCGACGCGACGCTTTAAATCTAAACTCCGCTGTGGGTAAAACCTACATACATTTATTACGAATAGAACTAGAAAGCTTTGAACTCCTTTTTATATCGTTCAGTATTTTATTTGATGTGGGAGCAGCTGGTCATCAAAATGACGAATGTTATTACAACGAAACCAATGAAATCTAATGAAATTGTTTTAATAACGAAATTAACATTGTAACATGTAAAATCTGTATAAAATTAGCATAAATCGGTTTATATTACCCTAAATCCTAAGTTATTTACAACAACATTATTGTAATTCATCAATGTGGAATAATATTCTAATAATATACATCTCAATTGTGAACTAAATACATAATGACAAAGCGGGGAGTAACAATGTTATCTCATTCGATTTACAATATGAATGGACCTTCACGTCTGTCGCAGGCAGCTAAATAAGTTATCTACTTTATAAGAAGCTAAGTTATTTCATATTCAAATAAAGGCCCCATAGAGACGCGTATAAAAGGGACCCACCCCCGTACGACTGTTCAATAACTCGTAATGAAAACAAATGTAGCTACGAACGCGACCCTTCCTGTTTACCAAAGCCTGCCTACCTATTTATTTCTTTTCGATCAAACGTAATTTTCGAAACAACAACCGAAGCAGACACAGCATAAATAAAAACATGACTTTATTAGGTATACTCTCGTATATTAAAGTTTCAATGTGTTCCCAACGTAATGTTGCGTTACAAACAACGCGAACGAATGTATGTACGAGTAACACAAAAGAAAAAGCTTTCGCTACCTGTTCTATTTCTGAAGTAGGATTAATAAAAATACAGCTTCAATTTTCGTAGTCGTCCTTATTTACATATTGTTTTGTTCGTATAACGAAAATAGTGAATATTATGAAAAAGCTATCAGCGTTGGCCTGGTATCTTGGTGGAGCTCGCTTAACAGGAAAGGAGATTGTATTTATGCAATTCAGCCAAGTCGTGTATTCAGGTGGATCGTTGTTGCTGCTGGTCGCGCACGGCGGAATTGCATCTACTACGGCGCGGTTGTAACGACAAAAATGCTAACACGGCAAGCGGGGGCGTGTTGTTGACGCGAAATTACCATTCCGGCCCGGCCTACGGACGAATGAATATGTAACATGGAATTTGGACTGGTTTGATGACATTGCGAACCGCGCTAAATTCCGCTCACAGATATTCCATCGGTTCGTAAACAACGCTAAGATAAAGTATTTTAGGTCATTCACGGCGACAATTGCGACAAACGATACGACGAGTCGAATGAGAATTGACAGCTGAGTAATGAATTTATGACAGTTGCGGCGGACAATAAACGGTCTGCGCGGTCTGTGATAAATTTGTGCGAATTTTCCGATGCAAGCGATGTTGCAATCAGCCGGTGACAGCACACGGAGCAAATGGGATTAAACTTTGTTAAACGACCTTGCGTTGCAATCCATTTGCCGCGCGACACGCTGCGGCGAAACTTCCACGCGAGATGCCTTCCATTCGCTCGGCTCGCCGGTTCCTGTCTACAAACTGTGCGCACTAAATTCTATAGATAATTCTGTTATTGCATGTCAGCAAGGCAAATTTAATCGTGGACCGTAATGAGATTACGCTGAGCAACTGGATTGCTCGTTTTGTACAATACGAAGCTTATTATGTAATTACTGGACACAAATTAGACGGCGTAATTGTAGTTCGTGATGGGAAAATCAATGTAACAACCGGATTATTACTGTCTTCGATCTATTTAATTAGCGTGTACAACTTGACGTCTTTATTATTGAAAAACTTATTACCTACTTACTTACTTTATTTAAGTTAATAAATGTAGAGTAGTAGAGCTATGTTAATTTCTTTTACTTACTAGACTGAAATTACAACTGACGCGATGACGTGAATAAGAAAAGTCTCATCATTAAAATTTATTTTAGGCACAGAGCATAGAAAGAGGTTCAATGTTACTTCTGTGATCTTAGGTATCTCAAAAACTGAAACACAAAAATCTCGTAATGATGGCTGTCGTATTGTTGATACACTCATATATTATTTAATTTACTGTAAAGCAACTTAGCAAGTTAAAGTTTATAGACAGGACATGTAACGCAAACAACCGATGGCCGATAGGGAGAAATAATCTCGAGTAGTGGTGACTCAAGGACAGCGTGTGACCACCGGCCGTTAGTTGGGCCTGGTAATGGCTCCCGATCGCAGGCTAGATAACAATCTATGGTCAGTTGCACGACCAGAATGTTGATGAAGGCTGTTAATAACGGCCAAATGGGGAATCAATTATCATCACGTTTAATGTAGTGCAGAGTACAAATTTTCGTGCCGACTTTCGAAGGCTGAATAGGAATCAGAGTGTGGCAGTAGTGCCACTACTTACATAACATAATGAAAATGCCAGCAATTCATTTTGGGAAAGGCACATTTCAAGAAATGTTGTTTTTATATCACAGACACTTCTAAAACCGATATGCATTAAAGGAAAGGGACATTATGAACCAGAAGGTTTTCCATGATTAGCAAGTTCCTATTCTAGTCTTACCGAAGTAGGGGTCGGTGACGTCACCGTTTAGGTAGATGACGAAAGGGGCGTGCGCATGTTATTAGGCAGGCAATAACACCACGGGAATAGACTTTCGGGAAAGAGACATTTCGAGAAAGGGACTTTAGGGAAATGGATAGTGGATAGTCAGGAAAAGGACCTTTTGACACCAATGTACATTATTATGAACCTTAAGGCTTTCCACGACAAGTCTTACTTACCATGTCTCCGGTGCGCGTAGGGGTCGGTGACGTCACCGTCGCGGTAGATGACAGAGTGGATGCGCGTGCGCGTGCCATTGGGCGGGAAGTAGCGGCGCGCGTGCTCCACGTAGAACGCGCCGTCGTGCGCGATGATCTTCCCCTCGAAAACGCCGTCCGTCACCGAACCGAACACCTTTGATTGTGGGTCGTCTGTGGAAAGAATTTGGGTTTAGTATACGGTGAAATTTGGGCGGATAGTGTGTCTGTAAGGTCTTTAAAGCCTGCATCATGAGAGATGTAGGTATTCAAGGATATGAGTGCAAGTCTTCTGGAAACAAGTTTACTGATAATAATAAATTGCCATTAAATTATACATTTTCCCAGCCTTGTGACTGTCCATTCTCAATACTTAAAATATGATTTGAATTTTTGAACTCTAACTACCCCATCTAATCAACCAAAGCAAGCTTTATTTTGAAGCTTGTAAGCCTTGGACTTGCTCTGTAAGCTTCTGTACAAATAAATAAGTAAATCCGGTTTCTTTCTTATTCTGGGAATCAAACTCAGATACTCTCCGAAAAGTCTCCGAATAGAATTCCAGAAGACTGTCACATTTTCCCAGCCTTGTGAGTGTTCATTCTCAATACTTAAAATATGATTTAAATTTTTGAACCGTAACCAAAATCCAATGTTCTACCCCATCTAATCAACCAAAGCAAGCTTTATTTTTAAGCTTGTAAGCCTTGGACTTGGCTCTGTAAGCTTCTCTACAAATAAATAAGTAAATAAGGTTTATTTGTTATTCTGGGAATCAAACTCAGAAACTCTCCGAAAAGTCAGCAGATAGTTTTTTGGAACTCTATATTTTGATTGTCATCTTTCTACCCCTTTCTATATCATTCACGGCAAATTTCCACCCGATTGTCACAATGTATACTACGAGACGTCCAAGATAGTTAGGGCGCTTGACGAAGTTTGCAATCCTACCCGCAATTTTAATCCGAAGGATTACTATAAACTATTGACTTAAAGAAAAGGGGTGGCGTGAACTTTAGAAATGAAATGCAAAGCGTACTTTACGACAACCAAGTGAGTTACGAGCAGTAAAATGGATATCGCACCACTTACTCATTTTACTGGTTAATTAGATTTTGACGTGTCGGGGGCTGATAATAAATGTTTAAGACGCATTATGGGGGTTTATGTAGCTGTGTCAATCCATATTGAAATTAAAATTAGCGGTATTTTTATATACGGGACTATTCCCACCTCTCGTTCCCACCACTGCAACTCCTGTGTAGCCAGGATCTACAGCTTGACCGCCACAAAAACCCAACCAATGAAGGTCAAGTTTGTCCCGGGGGAAAGTTAAACTGTCATTGGACCCGCAACGAAATTAATCAGAAGAACATAGGAGGAGTTCGAAATTAAGGTTCGACTTCCCTCCATTGCAAAGCGGATGACAGGTGACAAACAAAGGTTTAAAAACCTTTAAGAAAAAGATTATGCACCACGGACAATAAATTAAATTAAGGGGGCCTATCTTATGAGTAATTAGCAACTACCTGCCAATAATATTTTTTTCGCAAAATCGCTTAAAAGCACGGAAATTTTTCCTTGTCGCGACAAGATCGGTGTAATAAATTGCGGAAACAGATGTATGTTGTATTGAATTAAGCGTTATATCACGTTCATGTTTCCAAAGATCACACTCCCACAAGATATGATGGGCAGACTGCTCATGACAGACATCATCAGTGGAACACTCGCAAAAAGGAGACGGAACTAGTTTGAATTCGTAAAGTTTATGTTTAAAGTTGCCATGTCCCGTGAGGAACTGCGACGAGCAATGGTCGATTTCTAACCATCGCCTTAGTATTTTTATATGTGAATAGATCAATTAAAGTCTAACTTTTATTCTACATCGAGGGATGTGTAATATAGCGACAGACATGGCGAAACCTAAGCTAGAGCCGTAAGCAAAAGTCAGTTCCGCGTTGCATAAAACCTCAGTGATCTGAGCATAAAACGCATGAAATCATGAATAAACTCGCGATAGGTCGAAAATTAAAGAGGGCGTAGCCGCGGGCAGAAGCTATTTAGGTAGGTAGTGTATTTTGGTTTTTGTTCATGATTATAATTTACCGCACTTTATACGAATAAATACAACTTATTTATATGTTACTAATAATTTATTGAATAAATATTCATGTTTATTTATTACTCAAGAATATTGTTACGGCCTCATTCACCTAAATTATAGTTGTTACAATACAACGTTATTATTTATTTATCGTTTGTAATTAAGGAAGACAGAATGACGATTTAAATTAATATGGTTTACTAATAAACCGCACAAACCCACTTGCTCATTAATAGAACTAAAACTAATATCAATAAGTAATAAATCGAATGACAAATCAGCGCCGTACTAATTCAGAATTTCATTTTACTAAAACACCATTTCGTCGTAACATTATTAAGAATTTAGGTCTCAAACTTTAGTTGTACAAACGACATGGGCGTATCAAGCTAAATACTGTAGCATCTTATGTAGTGATAATAAATGTGATTTTGCAACAAAACTGTCAAAAACAATAAAGGCGCAGTTCCTAAAACAGAAAACAATATACAATCGAGTTGTTCGCAATATCCCCAACACGTGTTGAGCAGTGTACCTACCATGAGTTTACGTTAGGTGTGCTCGCTAGCGAGTACGTCAAAAATCTCTATGAAGATTTTGTTTCTTGAAAGTAGCCGCTAGGGGCGCTGCACAATATGTCATACAATTAATGTCATTTTTTTACGCAGTCGCTAGCGAGCACACCTAACGTAAACTCATGGTAAGCACACTGGTTCGAGGTTCCATACTTATTGGTCGGCGGGGGCATGCCAGTGACGTGTTGATTAAACGTGGCCTATGCCTGCACTGGATGGGCAACTAAGCTCAGCTCGTGTTCTTAATTCTTGTAGAGCTTAGTACAAAACTACATCGGCCGCATGGGTTAAGTTTCTATCGCAAATACATTGTCGCTAAAAGATGACCGCAAGTCAGGGCGGCCGGATTTCGCCATTAACGAATAAAATAATGAATCTTGCTTTAGAGATCAGCGAAATAAGCTGTGACAGATAGCTGAATCCATAGGCATTAGCAAGGAACGTATTGGCGATATTTTTTATACTCATTTGCACATGAAATAGGGGTGCGCGCGATGGGTGCCAAAAATGCTCACGCCGCTCGACAACCAGCGTCGAGTCACAACTTCGCAGGAGTTTTAGGACATCTTTGGCCATAATCCTAACAATTTTTTTTCTCACATTGCCACTATTGATAAGTAATAGATCAGGCAGTACGATGTAGAGTCAAAATAAGAGTCAATGCAATGGATTTAAAAGGGAAAACGCCGCCGCGGAAATTCAAAGTGGAGCGATCGACACCCAAGCTCATAGCCACTATTTTTGGGATTGTGGAGGAATTTTATTCATTGACTACATATTTAAAAATCTACAATAAACGGAGATTATTATGCTATACTGTTGATAAGAGTGCGTCAAGTGGTTGTTGAAATATTGAGAGGCAAACTGGCGAAAGGAAATCTGTTATTGCAAGACAATTCGCCCGCGCACATCGCGCATGTTGCATGGCTTGCCTCGGGTAAAACTGGTTTTCAGGAAATTAATCACCCACCACACAGTTTAGTCCGAATCCCTAACTATTTTGTCTCATTCTCAAATTGGAAAAAAGACCTTCAGGAACGAAGATTTTTGAGTGACAAAGAAATGGAGGCGGCGTTAAAGGCTCATTTCGAAGTAGAGGTGGGCGCCGATATAGAACTAGCCGGCGGCGGCGCGCCGACTTTTTGACTTCGGCGGCGGCGGCGTCGGCGGCGTGACCTTGACCTTTGACCTTGACTTTGACTCATTATTTCTTTAAAAAAATCTGTTTATTTACAGTCTATCGTCAAGACTATAATTAGGTTTGAAATTGGTTGGGGTTTAACGAGGTAGAGCCACTGCTCCGTCTCTCCCAGTAAATTAGCTTATCAGCTCTTTTGATCATTTATCATATCTTGTTCAGGGCCGCGCATGAGCGTAGTGCACGTCGAATCGGTGTCTTTTGTGCTCCCCCATACCTTTATTCCCTCTCATCCGCAAATATCCTATCCATAAAGCTAATCAAGTGCTTGTGTGAGATGGACCTATAATCTTCTGGTGCCGACTATGCCGACCCCAGGAGACCCATCCTTGTTCTCGCTAGCGCGTCGCATTCGCGCAGTAGATATTTCATAGACTCTGCATGTTCAGCCCATCTTGTAGAGCATGTGGTTCGTAGTGTAGTGTCCTGTTAACGCACCCGTGATCACGCGAGCTTGCCTTCTGTTTCCATAGAATATGAGTTTTTCCCATGATCTGAGTTTCCTTTTAGGAATAAGACTTTTTTTATAGGTCCATGACCCTAGGCTCAAAACTTTTCAGCCGCCCCTCGTATGTTTGAAATTCGAATTACAAATCGATCCGTTCGAATTTGTAATTCGAATTTCAAACATACGAGGGGCGGCTGAAAAGTTTTGAGCCTAGGGTATTAAAAATGCCGATCGAACGGATCGATTTTTCGGGACACTGCAAATGGGATGTTCATGTGAATGTCAATATTAAAACACGTACCTACCTATGTATACTACTAAACAGGATCCTGCAAAAAAATATCTGTGGGAAAGAGCCCTTAGTGCACTACCACATTAGCCGCATGTCGAATTGGTGAAGTATAGATTTCTATCGCAACCATACCTTGTCACATGCTCAAACATTACACGCACTGCATTCGTAAATAATTGATTTACAACTGTATAAATCAATTACGTAATTTTCTTTACGAATTCATAATTGTTGTGTTTAATTTTCTTCGTTTGAAAGTTGATTTCAAGATTTTACTCGTAACTAAAATTCAGCCTTCAAAACTTTACGATTAGAAATAGTATTTTTCAGCTGACTGTTAGTTTCTTGTTGTTCATGCCCGCAAACATAAAGTTAACTACAAATCTCTTAAGAAAAAGTTCTGAAAATTAAGTTTTCTTTCATGGAATCCTTCATACAAAACGGCGACTTCATAATCATAAAAACACTTACAAAATTTATTTGCACGAAATACAAAGGGCTGCGCTTTTGTTCAACTCTACTCAACTGAAGTTTTATTGAGTTTACAAGTCACATTAAATTGTTATTTAAACTTTAAAACTTAAAGACTTCGGTATCACGCTCTGGGAGAACTTCGAATAATTTCTCGTCAAACGTTCAAAGGCTAAATGGAAGCCGTTTTGCGCAAGATCGAAACAATAAGGTCACGTGAAGGGTCACATTGTTGTAGTTTAATCAGATTTTTTATCAAACAATCGTTCGGGGACGCTTTCCATTGTCAATGTTATTCGACTGCCTAAGGATTTACGAGGCGTTCAAGATATTTGAGTTGGCTGGCTGGTAAATAAGCTGATAATAAAATTGTTTTGCGATAGGAAATTTTGATTATAATGATGGCTTCCTTGTTTGCGTGGAGCTTTTGTAAGCGTTACTCAAATTGATAACAAGCAGGAAGTGGGTGTAAGTTTTGTGTGGTAGTGAAACCGTTATAGAATTTAATGACGATGTCGTGCGGCAATGTGGGGTTAATAAAAGTAATGATTGTGACTCATTTGGTTGTTAGGCACTTAGGCAGGTGACGGGGACAGGGGAACAGTCGGGGAACTATCAGCTGAGCGCGGAACTTGTAATGCATTGGAAGCGGAGAGCACGTGTGAGCTCACACGCGTGGCGCCGATGCATTATTCACGCTCCGATCAAGCTCAATGTAAACTAATTCGTGCGGCAAAACGCTGTAATACGTCAGTTATTATGAACTGAGGAAAAACCTAGACATTTTAATAGTAACATCTAATGAACTATACCCGTTTGATGAGATTTCATCAAGTTGTTTTGACGTGAACTTCCAATTACACTGGAAAATTGTACTCTGACAGATAGATATAGGGTTTTCCTCAATCAAGTTTCCTGGGATGTTTACACCCAAATCTGTTATGAAAATCTCTGGCGAGTTCAATATAACATGGAAACTTCTACATGCCAGATTTTACGAATTAAACATAGTTATAATAGCTATGTAACCCAAGAAATTGTAAGCAATATCGACGAGAAAGTAACGTGGTGATAAGAGCACGTGAACATTTTGCACGGGAAAGTCGAGCTTATTATTTAAAAATCACGCACGAGTTGTTGCATGATTCATTAATTGCATTTGGTATAAATGTTGCTTGATGCATTAATTTTAGTGATGAGATGGTGTAAGATTTTTTTGCGTAGGTTTTTACGGAGTGATAATAATTATTGTGCATTACATCATCTTGGTCTATCCAATTCCCAGGTTTAAGCTACGATGGCGCCTCATTGATCTTACGTCTGTCTTTTAGATAGATAAACTAATATCGTTGTTCCTTCGAATTTTACGTTACCCCATAACTATTAGCTCGCCATTCGTATTGTGCGAGACAATTTGTTCGAATGACAATGGCGTCGATATTGTCGAGGCCACCGCTCCGAGAATGTCGAAACGGCGAGCAAGAGCTCAATAAATTTGCACGTGCTTGTCATTATATTATTCGACGAAAGAGACGACGATTGCTTGCCCATTGTTCCTACTAAACCATTTTATAAACGAGAATTAACAACGAGCGATTAGTTAATCCTGTGGTCTATCCCTGGTCCCTACATAATATTTATAATATCAGATCCAAAATTACGAAGGTATGGCAAGTAAAATAGGAAAGAGACGTGAAATGTTTTCCGCACAAACCGCAGGGCCCGAAAATGTTTTCAGTAAAATTTAAGAGCGGTGGCAGAAAAATTCGCGTACATTTTCTGAAGTCAAGAGAGCCGGCAGTCGGCGTACCTACTTTATTTTATCATTGAGTAATTTTATTTACCTCGCCGATGTACTGAAGAATTTACGGGAAACGTATTTATTTTACATCCCCGATACTCTGTGAGTGATATGCGTGTGCTAACAGAAAATAAATTCGACGTTTTATCTATTTCTATTTAGTAAAAATAAAAATAAAATTCATAAAATTCATAAAATTCATTTATTTTTGCAAATATGCTTTAAAAAAGCGCTTTTACACGTCCCAATATTAACCCTACCACTGCTTCGGGACAATAAATGGGCCAGTGCTAAGAAGAAGCAGCGCAAGAAACTCAGTCACTATTGTCAGCCTCCTTTTCAAGGTTTTACAGTCTTTAAAATATCAAATTATAGTCATAAGTATTAATGCGAGCTAGGTAAACATTCCAAACATTTTTATCCTTTATATAATCATCAACTTTATAGTAGCCCTTTTTCATTAAGGTGCTTTTGATATGTGCTTTAAATTTATGAATGGGCAATTCTACAACAGTTTGTGGTAAAAACAGGATAATTTAACACAAGCAAGGTTTACTCGCTAATGCTTTACGTTTACGTGCACTTGAAAGCATAGATGCGTAAACAAAGCGTGCACCGAAATGTTTAGAGAGGGTTTATCGACGATCAACAAACTGTGAAATTAGATCAGGTGCGAGACTCGTGAGCTTTTATGATTTTCATACCAAAAATAGACCAATGTGAGTTGTATACTCCGGTGGAGAATGTTCCGTACATTTTCATCGGTTTATTGAACAAAAATCGTAAACGCTCTTAATTACAAAATATAGGCTCAATATTTTTCACAACAGATCCCTAAAAATAAGAACCCAACATTTTTGGTATAAAAGTACGAACCTACGTTCGAAAACTTTTATTACACAATCAATGTAAACAGTTTCGTATGCTTGGAGAGCAGTTTTCAGCTGTTTCTGTGCCTATAAAAAGTTTGAACTTTAACTCGCGGTCTTCCCAACAAATATCAAGTCTGAAAACATCCCTAAGGTATGGTAAATAACATTTTCTGGATCGTTGGTTCAAATGGTAAACCCCGACAATTACATTTGCAGTGTTTTACCCATTCTGGTGGCGAATGGCGAGTCCACGGTAAGTCGGTAAGTGCATCCATCGCTGGCCGCGCGCGTAAGTAGGGCGACGAACTGCGATCGATGCGCCCGCCCTCCGTACAACTTTATCCATTTACACTGTACCAAACTTTAGCGATCATAACAGCCGATGTATTCCGACAGTATCACAATACGCACCATTGGTGATGTATCAAGTATAACAATATTCAATTTAACTTGGTATTTTTCTTCGCAGAAAACTTTGCTGGTGCCAGTCGGCGAGGAGTTCGTAATAACGAACCGACTCCAAGACGCGGACGGTCTACTTATTATTTTCATTTTAAACTTTTTCAGCCAACCAGACTGCAAGGGTTATCTCTGATATAAACTCCGGTTTCCGACAATCATTCATTTCTCTTCACTTCAATACAGAGTCGAGGATGCTTTGTAAGCGCAATGCCGACGCGAGCCGTAAACAAAATGTTATGACTCTTTTCCATGATTTACATATTTCGCGAATCAGGAATGCTGTGTAAATTTCCAACGCAGTAATTATTTACATTGCACCGAGCAGGCGAGCGGCGGGCGGGCGGCCCGCGCCCTCCGTCGACGTTAAAAGTCGAGTGGCCGCCGAAAGCTCCCAATTAGCTGGGACTTTGACGCCAGTAATTGCGAAAAGAAATATGTTTTAGTGCTCTCGAGGAATTATTAATGTTGACTAGAGGATCGTCCAGTCCTCCCCAGTCCCCATTCACTGTCGACCAGACGCGAGGCGGGAGCGTTTAGCCCTGTTTGATTAAAGAGAAACACAATCGCCGTCGACATACCCGGAGCGGGGACTTATTAAATTTCCCCCCGGGCAAACAATGGCGGTCTATCTTGGGTGTAGATAACAGCGATGTTCCTAAGGGTACAATGGGTGCCGAGTTGCGGGTGCCAGTCTTCCGTGGGCTTGTCTGTCTTGTTGGGACGAGCACTCAGTTCTAAACTGTTCGAGCGCTACCTCCACTACCTCCACTGTAAGTTATTTTCCACAGTACCTCAATTCATTTGCCGCTAACCAAAACCATAACACGCTCTGTTGTTTTGCAATTACCGCAGATTGTTGCTAAGGTCCGGTTCTGTCTAGACGAGTTAGATAAATGTTGTTCTTAGGCTATGACCTCAGAAGCTTGAATGGCTCAATTAACTATTGTATTTCTAAAATATGTGGGTAGTTGTAGTTGAAAAAAGTGAAAATTTTCTTAACCAGTACAATTTTCATTAAAATTGTAATCTTAAAAAGTCGCAGTTTTACACATCTACTTAATCTTCTCATTCTAAAAATTTGCAACACGCACGAAGTACTTGGTAAAAATTGTATTTATAATTAAGTCTGACTTTCAGCATCGCTGTAAGCTAAGCTTTTCATTAAATCTAGATACTTTAAAAAATCTCTGCGCTAGACTAAATAAGCCCTTAATAAATACAGTCATAGAGGTTAATAAACTTACAAACAGTGTAATAAAATACATAGTCTCTTTTGCTTACCAGCCAATTCGCCGTGATAGAGATGTGACGTATCGACATCGTGGAGCTGACCTTGTGTGCCTTCGACCTGTGAAAAAGATTTAATTAGCAGTCAAACAACATAAATGGAGGCACTACGTTATTTTTTGATTACAACGTTTGGACTTTGTGGCCTCAAAATCACCAGTAATCATATTAAGGAAAACAGTAATCAGCCGTACTCGGGGCATTCCAATTTCATTTATTCGAATGTTAATGAATTTTATTACTGTTAAATTAAACTTCTGATAATTAATAAATCCGTACATTAATAAAGTGAGGAGAGGCTAATTAATAGATAAAATTTTGGGATCTAAGTTTCTTGGAATCCAAACAAAGGCTAGAAAATGAACTCAGTATGTATTAAAATATCATCACATTGATTAAATGCTGTGTAAGTACGTATTTTTGTTTTACAATATTACCCACAGTTAAGATAATACAATTTTCTATTAGATAGGAGATAAAATTGCGAAGCGAGTTGCGACGCGCCATCGTGATGTCTACAGGTCTTTTGTGATTGTCTGTGAATTTTATGTTTTTAGATGTATAGTAATGAAAAGGGACAGCTGTTCATTCAACTTATCAACAAGATTCTTGCGAAAAACAATATTCGGTACATTTAGATACCGAGCTGAACTCTCAGTTTAAATTAAAACAGATGGGCGACTGTGGTTTTCTTTGTATGTAGTATCATGTTAAAGTCGCCGCAAAAATCACACACGTCCCTCGGAAATCGTAAATAGAAGCACGGAGGTGCACGTCCGAAGAGACGTGACCGCAAGTACCACTCCTCGTTCCTCACATCTGTGGTCACCCACCCAGACTTACTCTGCATAGGGATTACCAAATCCACCTATTGCTCGCTTCTCAATTTTAGGATTGAGTAATTATTCCACTTTGTTCACCTGGGTGATATCACCTGGGAGAAGAAAGTAGATTTTTAGTGTCCTCATGTCACCTCGGAACCTTATTAGCTTCATTTTCCGGGTGAATTGAGTTGACTAAAGCGGTCGCCATTGTTCAACTAGGAATTAATTTACTCAGGTGAACAGATGCGAAAACATGAGTGCATTAATTCCTAGGTGAACAAAGGCGACTGCTTTAGTCAAATCAATTCACCTGGTTGAAATGGTTCCGAGGTGAAATGAAAACACTAGAAATTCGAATTTCTTCACCCATGTTAGCCCAAGTGATATCACCCAGGTGAACAAAGTGGAATAATCGAGTGTAGAGCAGATAAGTCAAATAGCAAACAATAAGGTCTGCATGCTTTTAGCACACAGTAAGAATTTCAGGTAAAGTCGACAAACTGCGAGCGGAAACACCAACGTCACCTCGTGCGATTATACACCGCATCCCAACAGCATATGGACCTTATTTGCTTTACGAGATATTATTTCTCTGCGTTGTCTACGGCTTACGCTCCCCTGACATGCCTTGACTTTGAAAACGCGTAGCTATAACATGGAAATCTTACCTTAAAGTCGTCTGTGAAAGCTGACAGGTCCCTTCGCAACCGTAGGTGGAACCTTCTGCTGTGCGCTCGGAAATGGAGATGCAGGTCAGCTGGCGCGTCTGTGGACCGCCGCGTGCGCAAGTGCTGCTCGTGTATCGCTCGCGAGTCATAGTCGAGCGGCTCGTAGTGGCGGATGTATTCGTTTAGCTCACGGTATGATGCTGCAACAAAGGAGACAAGGACTTTAGTATGAGCAAAACGTATGACTACATTTTGTAATGTAACAGAGCTCAATCATAATATCATCCATATAGTATAAGCGCTAGTCAAGATACAAATTATAATAGACACTAGAAAATACCTATTTTGTTGGTAAAATAAAGGTTCAAAGCCCACTAAATACAGCAGATTTTTCAAGTGAATAAATCGAAATTAAGATCGGCCGGGTTCAGAGTTCAACAACCAGTTATAAATTAATATTTATGATATTCGTAATACCTATCATTTACGTTTGAGATGTCTGAGTTTATATCAAATAAACTCAATTTACTTTTAAATGCGTACCTAAAGTTATTCACGATGAGCTTTACGGCGAAAAGGTCTTAATCTGTGTAGATGGCAAAAGCAGCTTCTATTAAAGCAAGAATAAAAAGACTGAGATAAAGGTGATGCGGATGAATTAGAACAAAGGATCCCCTTACAAACACACGAAACCACTGAAAAATACGGCCAACTTTTCTTTCCAACTCCAACAGAAAATGCAATTCCATTTCTTAGGATAATAAATAGATCTCGGAACGGACATCGATCGAGTGTTTTTATACAAGTAGGCCAATTCGAACGCCACTAAATCTTAATTCGATTCAGGCCTCGCCACGGGATTGGCAGAATCTTTTTCAATGTCAATCGGTATAGGTGGAAAGCGTAAAAACCCAATACTTTACAAAAAATCCGAATACCTGAAATAATACTTTCAGTTTCATAAAAATGAAAACAACAAAATCAGAAATTCAACCGTACCATAAAAGAAAATATCCAAAGTTTATTCGTGGAATCAATCCTCTGGAGTAATAAATAGAGCTATCTATTTCTTCCTACAGCACTTGTCCCGAATACATAAAAGCGGTATGAATATTATGCTAATGGGGTTTATAAAGTCATCACGGTGCTCAGAAGTCGAACGGACCGGCAAGCCACTGCACCAAAACTCAATTTTCAGACTGTAAATCTTGAGTTTGATTAAACGACACTTGAGCAGAATTCGATTTTCTCAGTTCGAATTTTTCCGTAACGTTAATTATAAACTTTCCGGGACCCAAAATTACATTCAAGTCGGGGACAATGGGCGTAACTTTGTCGAACTCAAATTCATTGGTACGGTAACAGTTGCCGTTTCACACTTCATTCATCTCAAACCTAAATATCATTGGGACCGAGAAAAAAACGAAAGGAAGTCACATGGCGAGACGAAATGCAAGTGTGCACCACGTGTTGTATTTTACACTTGCTGTTGCCATGTTGATGTGTTTGCTGAACAGTCTTCAATAAAATATTAAATTGGACCGCACGGACTAGTTTCTTAGTAGAGGAAGGCTTCGTGAATTTATTGTGTGCGAGGTGTCCAGTAGCAAATATGAAAGTAGTTACGTGGCGAGCGCGCCAAGCACGTAACCCAAGCCCGACCAAATAAATAGCCCATTTATTCTAGTTAGGCCTTCGTTCCAAGAAAATGCAGCATGAGGAAATGATAGCGCGGCGTTGTATGGAAGAGATTAAAACCCGCTGCAATACTGAGTCGGGTGGACAGTGATGTGCAGCGGGACATAAGTTACGACACAGCTGCAGTTGAATGCAATCCGAAGGCGCGAGACGGGAACCGAGGCTGATTTATTTAACATGCCATTTGAAACTGATTCCCTTATTCAAGATCGCAAATAAAATATGCAACTGGTAGAGTTTTCATTTCCCGCTAAACGGCAGGGTATACGGAAAATACGTTTAATACATATTTAAAAACAGGTTAAAATATGCGAATATAATCAGCGATAAATGAATGAAATATGAATGCAGCTCAACCCCTTCCTATTTATGCAGTACTAGCTTTCCGCCCGCGGCTTCGCCCGCGGCTTCGCCCGCGTGGAATTTTGTCTGTCACAGAAAAACTTTATCGCGCACGTCCCTGTTTCAAAAACCGGGATAAAAACTATCCTATGTTCTTTCCCGGGACTCAAACTATCTCTATGCCAAATTTCATCAAAATCGGTTGCGAGGTTTAAGCGGGAAAGCGTAACAGACAGACAGACAGACAGACAGACAGACAGAGTTACTTTCGCATTTATAATATTAGTTGGGATTCTATCTACATATTGCAAGCAAATTAAAATAATAACACAGCTTTAATATGCATACTATTTAAATTGGCGTGTTATTTTAATCAGCTGAATACTTGTATTTTTAGATTATATTTTTATTAATATAAGGTCTAGTTTATCACAGCGCCTACGCATAAATCATGGCGAGCTTAAAAAAAATAAATCATCCGATTTTAAAATGGCCGTAGTCGAGGCCGTAGTCAATCATTCATCGCAGCCTGTTCTGCCTCGGCAGCATTTGCGGCAACTCTCGGCTGGATTATTTACACATCCACGTTTATTTGTTCGGTCATACAGAGGGGTTTTTGCTATGAGCGCGTGTCAGTGGGTCAGTGGGACAGGACCACCCCCACCCCATCCGAAAGTAGTCACAAAGCCAGGCTTAATGCCAGCGCAATGCACAGGTTCTTTTAACTAACTAGCCAGTTAAGTGCATTTGCTTTCGCAAGTTGCTTAGTCGGGCAATAAATAGAAAATCTGCATAATCGTTCTTGTGATACTGCCCCGATGCCTTAAATACTGTATTTGCTTCGTAAGTGAATACCCCGATTGTTTATTGAAGCGTTTAGCTAACCGCAATTTAGGTCTAGGTTAATTAATGTGCTTTGCTGTAAATTACATTGTGTTAACTAACAATTTTACGTAACTAGCAGGTAAACAATGTAAATACACGAGATGGGTAATTGTTTAATGATTGTTTGCGTAAAACAAAGAATAGTTGATGTGGTATGGATTACTTTGGTACTTGATGGTGCCTTTTAGTGCCAGCAATAATAAAGGGGTTCGTGAGCACAATGCCTGACACCGACGAGGGTCAAAAGCAATTTAATTAGTCAAGTGTAGTTTAGCAGCACCAAATGAGGAGACGGCGGAGTGGAGACTTCTCGCAAACTTTAACAATGTCCTCTTGCGTTAGGCAACTTGTCGATACTCAGACATGCCCAAACAACTCTTACTGGCACGTTGTAACTTACCGAAATTCATTGGATTAATTATCACATGCTACCAATACGTTGTTAGGTAATTGAAATTAATGTAGCAATTAGTAGTCTTAATTTGCAATTTGGTTTTACCTGTAAAGCTCTATGAAGCAAAAAGGTAACTGAAAAGGCGAGTTAAGAGAAGCTAAGTTTTGGTAGAATATGACACTTGAAAAAGTTTACAAGACAGGGGGATCGATTAGGAAAAGTCTATGTAATATGTTATTTAGATAAAAACCGCATTCATCATTAATTATACAAATAATAGATAGGTTTATTTCCCGTGTTGGATCAACAACTGTTGAATGATCAATCATCCTTCAGATTCCATTCCAGATTAATGGCGCCCATTCACACCATCGATTACTGAATATAAACTAGAAATTATTGTTTAAAAATAAAATGTCCCACAATCTTTTAAAGTTACAATAAACATAACCGCAAACGAAAGATTAAACATCACTTGACGTCACTGAATGCAGAGTTCACTGCGGTTTCCCTTGGGTACAGTGGTCGGCATATCAGCTGAGATAACTTCAATTATGGCATGTATGACGTGGTGATAAGAGCCGTAAGTCACCTCCAATGTTACACCCGACACGTACCCTGTCTGTACCTGAAACTGTACGTGACGACCCAATGTTTGGAAGTGAGAGCGAGCAGGACTCCCAAAGGGATTAGGGATTACCCGGCTGTCCCTCGGGATTGCAAACTTTGTTCAGTGGAGGGTTTTAACTTTTCTTGTTGTTCTGAAATCGCTCATAATTACATGTTTTCAAAGTTTATTATACTTAAAATAAGAACACCGCACAGGCACAGCACGCGCATCTTTGTTTATTTTATGTTACTAATATTTTTATTTGATACGATTTTTTGCGACAATCCTGAACGGTTTAGTGCACATCACCGAACAAAGCAGACCCATTTAATTAAACTACGGGTTTCTGAGCACGAAGGGATATAAATAGTTAATTTTATCTGAACTAAGATAAACATCCACTGTTTAATACAATCCTGGGTAATGAAACGCCACTCAAGTAGCGTAGCGTCCTTTTCGTCGCTTCAATAACACTAACTTTAGACAAGTTTTGAAAGGGTTGACTGTTTTATACTGTTTCCAACAGATTGTAAGTGAATAAAGAAATGTAATTAGTTGGCAGTGAACAGAAAGTGTTTACGCCATCACAAACCGAGCCGGAGCGAAAAGTACCCAAGGGACGGTGGCAATTACTTAGCGACCAGTTACGATACAAGCTTTCCCTCCAAGAAGCCACTTCTATATTAACCATCCTTTCTATTGACTGGTATCACACAAAAACGACATCGATACATGTTATTTATTGAACGGGATTTGAGCTTTAAACACTGATTACACACTTTCAAAAACTCGTAGTAAATTGAAAGAAATGAAAACAGTTTTATAGAAATCACGAAATCGGGTTTAAAAATATTGACTCCACACGTGCAGTTACACAATACACTGAAACCTAATCCAGTTTGTTGCGATTGCATTCTTGACTATAACATCTACCAGAATTTCGGAATCAGCGTAAACAACATTGCTGTTTAAAATAAAAATATTGTACCTAACCTACCTACGTCACCATTTCAGAAGCGCAGTGGTATACAATACGATTCGAGGGAAGTGAGTACCAGAATTGCTCAATCGGCGAACAACAAATACTGATAGAAAGCAACGACCGTGCCATACGACCTAATTGATGTACTGTGTACAGAACGTAGCGAATTTGAACTGCTGCTCATCCAATTAAACTGACGTAAAACCAATCCCAAGAGCCGCTGCTACTAGCCTCCCCGTTTTATTTGTTAAAAGTTTGTTTAAACAACGCTCCTAGCTCAGCTCCCAGT